CATATAAGATGTGTATTTGTGGTAAGAAACCAAAACTGACAGAAATATAAGACATTAAAAAATATATATACATGTTTGGTCATAAGCAACTAAAGCAGCAAAAGGGTTCCCAGGAAATAAAACTCAAAATCCATGATCTGATATGGTACTGTAAAGTCTAAGGTTTACATTTCAAGAACACTTACTTCAAACCTATTGCCCTGAATTCACTGGCCCATTCAAAAGCAGATAAACTCTGTGACCAGACTGTTGACCAGAACATGATCCCTGAATGGTTAATTTAAAAACAAACTTCCTACACTGGATAATCAAAAACATAACCATGCACGTTTTCTACCTGGCTGATCCTCTTTTCAGAAGTGTAATGCCTTTATGGTAACCCATTTTTAACTCGTGCCCACAGCCATATCTAGTAAGTAGCTATCAACCTACTGTACTTCTGAAGCCTGAAACTTCTGCCTTCTTGAAAACCCAGAGTTACACACACACACACCCTTCAGCCTACTTGGGCTTGGAAGCATAACCAACCTTAGCTGTAAGGTAGGCTCTTTCCTCTCTCCCACACTAGGGAGTGGCTATTGCTTCTTTACACAGATTCCCCGATAAGCACAAGAAAAATCAATGACAACTTGAACAGCTGAGACTAGTTTAAGAATCACAAAGATTCATATTCTTGTTACCCTTAGACAATGCCCAAAATATAAGTCACTGTTGGTCATACATCTCTTTCCTTGTGCTTATCCACCCTGCTTTGCGCTACCACCCTGACCCAACCTCCTACCCACAGTGCACCTTCCTCTCAAACCCTTTCCTCTGGGTACCTGTTATGGATTGAATTGTGTTCCCTCAAAAGACAGGTTGAAATCCTAACCCCAATACTTGTTAATGTGACCTTGTTTGGAAATAGGGTCTTTGAAGATGTTATCAGTTAACATGAGGTCATACCAGAGTAGGTTGGGTCCTGATCCTATCTGAATGCTGTCCTTATAAGAAAAACAGAACAAACCCAGAGAGACAGAGAAAACACAGTCATGCGAAGATGCTTCTACAAGCCAGGGAACACCAAGGAACACCAAGGAATGCCCGGGGTTACCAGAACCTGGAAGAGACAAAGATCTTCCTCTAGAGCCATCAGAGAGAACATAACCTGGCCACAGCCCTGAATTCAGATTCCTAGCTTCCAGAACTGTGAGATAACTTGTTTTTTAGAGCCACTTACTTTGTGCTATTTTGTTATGGTAGCCCTAGAAAAATAAGACAGTGCCCTAAAAACTCACCCTGTGTCCTCTGCCTCCTTCTGTTGCTCAAATCCCTTGCCCTTCCTGTTTAGTCTGACTGGATCATTAACTTTCTGTCTCCTCTGTTCCCTCACCAAGCTTCATCCAGTAGATCAGGGTAATTTTAATCCATGGTCTCTAGCCTCAAGGAGGCCTTCACAATGATGCTCACAGTGGAAGTGAGGAGGTAATAGATGGTTATCGTAGCAGAACAAGTGAGAGGCAACAAGAACCAGAACTAGAGTTGTGGCTTTGGGAATGTTGATATGCGGCCCCCCTTCCAGAATTTTTTTGTCAGAGACCAAATAAATGGTATTTGACCACTATCAAATAACCAACAAGACTAGCAGTATCCCTCCCCCCATCAGAATAGTTAACTGGGGCTATAATCACATATAAACACTATCACATTAGGCATACCCCTGCATAACTAGTATCGAAACAGCAAGGAAGCAAAAATTAACTCAAAATCAACCACAGACCTAAACGTTAAATGCAAAACTATGCAACTCTAGAAAGTAAAATAGGAGGAAATCTAGGTCACCTTGGGTTTGGCAATGCATTTTTAGATACACCACCAAAGGCATGATCCATAAAAAAAACTATTGCTAAGTGTGACTTCATTATAATGCAAGACCAAATAAACAGGAAAATGGCAGAGACAACACTCTTTGTAGACAAAGACTTTTCATCAGCCTCGTCAGGAGTTAAACCAGGGAGGATCTCAACAGGTTTGCCAAAAATTTGGCCAAAAAAATTACCAAGATTATTTAAAATATGGATATACACCAATGTTGTTAAAGATAAACCTCACCCTAAGAGAATATTGAGCCTTGAGAAATTAGCTAATGATAAAAGCATATGCAAATAATGTCAGAAGTTAATGTACATACGCTAGAGGTGTTTGCTCAAAAAATTGTTATTGATGGTAATACACCATGAAGAAAGTTTGGGAGCCACTGGCATATAAGTTAGATTCTGAGATGATGGAAACTAAATTTTCTGATCTTTGCCCTGGGGCCAATGCAGCTGTACTTTAAGATTAATAACATTCTAAAAGAACATTTTGTTTTTGTTTGGTGATAACCTTCCAAAACTTAATCACTATTTTATTCTTCTCTCCTGTTACACAGTTTTTAATATCCATTACAATAAAAGTGGGGGTAAACTAATACAAAATTCCTTTGAACACATTTTGCATTGTATGTATTCTTAATTCAGCACATCGGGAGCAGAAGCAAGATGGAAAACTTCCAATTTTTGTTGTCCTTCATACTAACTAGATATTCAATATCTCCAGAGACATGGGAGTTAAATAACCAAGTTGCGCAATTTGCTAAGTCAGATGTTTTAAGTAGTCATATTGACTATTTCCTGCACAAACACCTCGGCCATGACTCTATTCACTTTCAAGCAGATCTTGGTGACCATCAAGTCAATCTCTAACATGACTAAAGGGAACCTAGTTACTAAAAGCACTAAATGAAAAGTCAAAGTCTCCTTGCCTTCTTTGTGGGACTCCAAGGCTTGGTAAAGAGAGGGTCCGTGAAAAAGAGGAAGACCCTCAACGAGATGGATTGACACAATGGCTGCAACAGTGGGCTCAAGCATAGCAATTGTGAGGATGGCGCAGGACCGGGCAGTGTTTCGTTCTGTTGGACACAGGGTGCTATGAGTCGGAACCAACTTGACGGCACCTAACAACACAACAAGGCTAAGTTTACAGCCAGGTGGCAGTGTTATCAGACACACACAGAAGTTGCAGGCACTTGCAAATGTACCGATTGGTGGCATTAGAGCACTCATTTGGCAATGAAGCACATACATTTCAAAACACATTATCAAAAAGTAGGTAATTGCAACCCATTGCAATCTCCCTCGTTGCAAATATACAAAGCAAGTTTTAAAAGGATCAAAATAAGATCTTTTACCAGCTTCCTCTTCCTTCCTATTTTTACAAGTCAATCCTTGATAGTCAATGGGGCACTTCCCAACTCCTTCCATCTATATTTGTCATAAAAGAAACCAGATCTAAGAAATGGCTAGCACCATCAATTTCTGCACTTATATCAAAGGAGAAAACCCCAAAACCAAACCCACTGCCATCGAGTCGATTTCAACTCATAGTGACCCCACAGGATTTCCAAGGCTGTAAATCTCTATGGAAGCTGACTGCCACATCTTTCTCCCACAGAGCTGCTGGCGGTTTTGAACCACCGACCTTTTGGTTAGCAGTCGATTGCTTTAACCACTGAGTCACCAAGGCTCCTTTATTTCAAAAAATGGTATCAGAACGTGACAACCAGTAGTTTTTATTTTTAAGACAAAAAAAGTCAACTCCGTGATCCTAATACTTAGATTAGGATCCAGTCTTTACATTAAGATATCTAGAGTTGAGATTCATTCCATGTCCTATTTTTTAAAGAAAATTTTTTAAAAAAGAAAAAGGATTGTGCACGGGGTGGGGAAAAGGTGTGTCTGCTGCATTGCCTGAAACTTGCAGGACTTTCCAGAAGTTAGAGTGAGGCTATAGGATTAGCTCAAGAGGAAAGAAAGATCACATAGCATGTCAAAGTTTGAAAAGTTCCCCAAGAGACCAAATGCTGATAACTAGGAGTGGTTCCTTAAGACTTCCCTGAAATATCTGAAACCACTTTTTTCAAAAAGCTTATTTTACTACTAAAAGCAAAACCCCTATTTCTTTAACAGGGGCAGTATTCAAACAGGCTGAGATAAAATCATTCCCTTAAATTTGTCTTTGAAGTGGAAATGTGATCATATGCAAAATGCTAAGAGAATAAAACAATTTCAATTGCCTTCTCAGATGGCATGTGTCTAGTTAAAATGCATGAACTATTACATGTGATCTCACAGGTTAGAATTACCTTTTCCATAAAGGGCTCCCAATAAGACCTATGCCTTGGGAAAGAAGGAATTATTATCGCTGAAAAATGGCATCTAATTTATGTCAGTGGAAACTACAGGCTCCTCAATGTTGGCCTCCATTACAAAGGCCAAACAGGAAAAACATAATACTGTCCCCAGGAACTTGGAACACCACCACTGCCATTTGCTAAAGTAAATTTGCAAACTTATGCACAAAGTAGGACCTGTAATGCCCAAAGTAACAATTTACCATACGTTCTAAGTGTATTTGATGCTGTCTTCCTTTATAGGAAAATGTTTTAAATATACACAGGCCAGAAGAATATTATCTTAATAAGATCAGTCATCCCCTGGTTTCAGTTCATGTTTTTTAGATTTATTTATGTGTTAACATTTTCCCCCTTGAATATAAGAGGGTAGGAACCCTCTAGGCCCAGTGCCACCAACAGTGGTTGATACTTATTAAAAATATTTGTAGAACGAGTCATTAACATTGTTATTATAACAAAAAAACCCAAACCTATTGCCATCGAGTTGATTCTAATAGCGACCCCATAGGACAGAGCAGAACTGCCCTATAGGGTTTCCAAGGCTGTAAATCTTTACGGGAGCAGACTGCCACATCTTTCTCCCATGGAACAGCTGGTGAGTTCGAACTGCTGACCTTTCAGTTAGCAGCCAAGCATTTAACCACTGTGCCACTAGGGCTCTATTTTATTATAACTCCCTGTTTTTGATGTGCTCCAAATTTAGCCTGTCATTAGTAAAAATTATATGTAACCTTTATTTAAAACAATCAACAGAAAAAGTTACTTTAAATAATCAGGTATCCATATGTTCAAGTGAATATGTTTTATTAAATGCATACTAATATCTTTCTATATTATGTGAGTATACATAATAAATTAAAATGTATATATATTTATTAAATATAGATATAATACCAGAACATGATTATTTCAGATGAGAAATCAAAATAAACCCATTTTTAAGTATCTTTTGGTCACTTCAAATTGATATTGCTCATAAAAAAATACACTGATTTTTCCCTGGGGGAAAAAAATTAATTCCATAGCAATGTAGTTAAGGGACATGTTTTATTTCATAGCTTTCTGCAAGCACATTTGCTTTGATACAAAATGAGTTCAGTGATACAGGTGCTACTGTCCACTCAAGCAAAAGAAAACCTCACATGTATATGAATGCACTTTATAATTATATTCTTACAGTATAATTGGTCTAATATCCAGGACGCCTCTGATCTTATTTAAAGCAATGGCACAGAAATGTTGCAAGGTACTTGAATATCATAGTGCTGGCAAGTGCTTAAAGTTAACTTCCTGTGAGTTCTCAGTCAGATACTGCTTAAAGAACCGTGTGTGGATGTGTTTGTCTTTTTGCCCTCCATCTTTCAGTTTACATTTAACTCATCTCAAAATAGATTCCTGTGTGTGTTTTGGCTTTTCAGAGTTTCCACAGAAATAAGAAAATGTCATGAGGTATCCTTCATGTTAGCTACCCACGTAGCAATGTAGTTGACAGAGAGGATGTAGACTCACCTGTACGTTCAGTAACTGATTTTAGTGTATGCTCCACACATTACAGTGCAGAAATGTTAGTTCATGTTACACTCTCTTCCCCCTCACATATGATGTGACTTTAACCCCAGAATATCTTACAAAAGAAAATTATACAGGTAAAATAAAAAGACAAATACACAAATAAGGCCATCTGCAGTATTTTAAACTTGCCTCTTACAATATTTCACAATAATTTCTACATCATATTTTACATCTTCCAAATTTAAATAATAAACGCTCAAGGAAGGGCCTTGGTGGAACCAACTGCACTATCTTTTTGCGGACTTGTCCAATCTTCTGGCAGGTGATTTCCTCTGGGGTGTGGGGATTTTGGAAGGCTTGGCTGTGGATGGCCGAGAACCTGCTCGGGGCGTAGGTCTGTGTGTTTGGGGGACAGTCTCCACGTCTGAGCACACGGACTGAATTTCTGAAATGTCAAAGTCTGAAGCATCACTGCCTCGGCGGCTGCTGGCCCTGCTGCCAGCTTTGCTTCCAGCTCGGCTTCCTGGTCGGCTAGGGGTCTTCTTGGGATCTGAGGAGAGAGGGCAGAGATGAGTCACCCTTATTACTGTAACTGATCCTTGAAACCTTATGTCACCTTTCATCTCAACGATTTTCTTGACACCTAGTAGGCACTCCAGAAAATACTTAGTGGATCAATGGGATTAGGATACTATCTGGGGACCACAGAGACACATCCTTCCCAACCTGGCTTTTCCCCATTCCACAGTTCTAAGTAGCCTCACTGTCAGGAGCCATGATATATAAAAAGCTAGATTTACAAACAAAAGGTAAATTTGGGCTTACTTCACTTAAGACAGGATTCCATTTACTGCAAACAGACATGAGGAATGTACCTGTCATTTAAGATTAGGCTTTTCAAAGTTTGGCAGGTTTACCTAGGGATGTGTGCAGTGCAAATGTGGATCAAATACTGAGTGTAAGTTTTGTCCACTGATGAGTAGTTCAAAGCACACAGGAATTCAAAACATAAGACTTGAAACTTTAAGGAAGCTTCATGCTTGCTGAGGTGAGAGCCCCAGAACTTAGGTTCACTATTCTGTGAAGAAATTCGAGAAGCACTGGTGTCGGGCCCAGTGAGGCTGGGTTTTTCCAACCACCCAAAATAGGGTCCAGTACAATCTCCAGGCAGGAAAAAGAGCCGAGACCTGCCAGCCTGTACAGAGAGAGTACTGTTGTATTGTTTGTTCCCTTTCGGTCACTCGCTCATCTTTCTTTGGTATTTTCCAAAAAGGATTTTCTAGCTGCTTGTTCCCATGACTCATTTATCCCTTGTCTTTATTGGAGGAGTAAGGTTACATGTTATTTAAAAAAAAAAACAGCATTATCAATTAGGAGACTTCACTAGTTGGGAAGAAAAGGGGCTTTAATCTTTAGATCATCATATTTCAAAAGCCACTGATGAAAGAAATGGACCACACTCACCGGCAAACTGTGTTCGGACTCTGGAGGCTGCAGTTGTGATCAAGCCACTGTCCTCCCCAGAGTGGAAGCCTTTCCCCGATAAATATCCTGGAAGTCGAAGCTTGCTTCCTTGTATTGGTGTTCCCTGCCATTAACCAGTGAGAAGACATGTCAACATACTGCACCTGTTCCATTGATACCACCTCTTTACAAATAAGTGAACACTTTCTACAAGACCTCCTGAGGAGGGGGAGGGGGAGATAGTTTTCAATTAAATGAGGCATAGACATCTCACTTGCTTTTCTCCTCTAATTTCTTATCCTGGATTCAGAGGAAGCTTTCAAAAGGAAACAAATTCACGGTTGAAGAGAAAACACGTACGCAAAAATGTAGATCCCCAAATGAGTAAGAAATTGATGGCAAGGAAAATAAAAAGACAAGTTAAATTGTGAGTACATTAGTAATTTTCAGACTGTTAATGAATGTTACAGAGGTAAGAGAGTTACTGTAGTAAATGTCACTTAGCACTGGTACTTCCATAGTGGCAGGGGTAACTGAAGATTTGGCATAGGATAACTACCCCACCCCTACCAAAGGACGGTGACTGCCTGGTGTAGAGAAAAAACAGGGCTCTGAAAAACTATGCTTAGTGTTCTGCTGCCACTGATGCTTTTGAAGAACTAGGTAGAAACAAACAAAAATAGAAGGATAATAAATAATGCCTAAAAAACCCATTGCCATCAAGTCGATTCCGACTCATAGCAACCCTATAGGACACAGTAGAACTGCCCCACAGGGTTTCCAAGGAGCAGCTGGTAGATTCGAACTGTTGACCTTCTGGTTAGCAGCTGTAGCTCTCAACTACTGTGCCACCAGGGCTCCATAATGCCTAGACGCCATAATTTAAACACACAACTGCAAAAAAAAAAAGAAAAAAAAAGAGTGCCGTTTTATGACTTGGCACCGCTTTCACTATACTTCTTAGCTCTATCACCTTCTATGGTCCCTACACACAAGATACCTAGGCACCAATTGGGGATCATTCTTTTGAAATTCTTATAGGCGTTTGCAAAGAATGTCTGAAGTAATGACAATTGTGAGATTTTGTTATAAGTCTAAAATCACTGCATTTTTTTCTAGATCACAACATTTAAAAAATTCTTCCAAAGTTAAAAAATAAACCTTCACAGAAGTATGAGGGATGTCATATTCCTCAATGAAGTCACAGGAGGGAGAAATCTGGAGGAAGTGAATCCGTGTAAATTGTGTTATTTAAAAATTAATTTTTCCCTTATTAGTTTTAAATGTTTCATAGTGTATGTGAACCTTCTGATACATCATTGCACATATTAATATTCAGATTGTTAATTTACATATGTATATTATACATATTTAAAAGTATACTCTTTATATATAACATATATAATATTTAAGTTTTAAAAATACTTTCACATACTAACCAAAACTAATACTTGCTCTCACCTAACCACAATCTTTTTACAAATGAGAAAAATGAAAGCTCAAGGAAGGAAGTGATTTGCTCAAAATCTGACAACTCTGATGCAGTTAAATTCTTAAGAATCTCAACAATTCAGGAGATTATGAAGAATACCATTCAAGGTGGCAGAATTCATTAGCATGAAAAACCAAAACCATTCTTCTCAAAATACCTCGATTGTTTTGATTTTATTGCCACAAACCCTGTCTAGTGCTCTTAAGACCCTTCCATACAGGCACACTATTGTTTCTGTTTGGTTGGCTGGTTTGGATTTTTGAAGTTATTTGAACTAAAACATAGTTTGACATGAGCCAAAATAACATACTCAGACTTTTATTTTGGGAGTCTCCTTTCTTTCAGATTTGAGGTTCTTTAAACTTTTCAGTTTTTGTTCAATAGATCCATAATAAATAACAGATCTCCTAGAGGTAATATACGATAATAACGTCCTCCATTTGAAAGGAGGGAGTAGGAATGAGGGGAGAGAGGGAATGAGGAGGAAGGAATGAGGAAAAAGTGAAGAATGGGTTATTTCTGTTCCAATTCTTCCACTCATCAGCCATGGGATTTCCACAGAGTCATAACCCATTGCTGTCAAGTCGATTCCGACTCATAGCGACCCTATAGGACAGAACAGAACTGCCCCATAGGGTTTCCAAGGAGGAGCTGGTTGATACGAAATGCCGACCTCTTAGTTAGCAGCCGAGCTTTTAACCACTGTGCCAGCAGGGCTCCATACAGTCATAAGGGTAATGAAATTTTCTCTGCTTATCTCTTATTATCATTGTGAGGATTAAGTAAAATGATAGGTATGAAAGTGTTTTGAAAATTATAAAGGGTTCTTTAAAGGTACTATATTACTTTATACAAGGGTCTTGGCCTATAAGTTATAGTTGAGATCTTCAAGATGAAATGCTAGCTTCATATCAAAAAAGGTATTTATGGACATTTTCCCCTAAATATTGTGATTCTAATCAAATATGAGATCATTTGGCACCTATGTTTGTTATTTTTCAGAAAAGATTCTTAAAAAGATACATCGTTGCCTTTTGATTCATTGTAAATTATCTGATACATGAGTTAATCTTGACAATATTTATATCTCCTGAATATATCGCCTAAATTTCCCCATATATCTTATTAAAAAGTGAGTGCTTGCTTGAATAACATTAAAGAAAAAAAAAACACTGCGGTTGATTCCGACTCATAGTGACCCTACAGGACAGAGTAGAACTGTCCCATAGGGTTTCCAAGGAGTGCCTGGTGGATTCATTCGAACTGCCAACCTTTTGGTTAGCAGCCAAGCTCTTCACCACTACACCACCAGGTTTCCTGAATAACATTAATTATGATTAAAATCTAATATAGCTACATTGATTACCTTTAGAAAATGAGATCACATTTTGCATATCCTAAGCCCCCCATCCACACTGATAATTTGAGAGCTCACATCATAGTCACCCATGGTGAACACTCAATAAACATTCTTTCAATTTAGGCGATTCTCTTGTAAATGATACTGCCTCTTATTCCTGCCCAAAGCCAATGTGCTGCATTTCCCGCCTGTAGCAAAAGCATACCATCTGCCTTAAAAGAAACTTTACTTAGGTCTGGATATAATCTCCTCTATTTCACTCCCTTGAGAGAAAACCAGAGTTAAATGAGTAAGAAAACAGCAGAGGAGGTATACAGCCTGCAAGTGTGAATATGTTAAGCCAGCACAGTTCAAGGAGCTATAAACTGTCCTTTCTGCTAACTAACCCCCTACTCTTAAGGCTTCAAAGAACTGCTGGGTTGATACTCATTTTACAGAAATCTATAAAAAGAAGTAGTATTACCAAAAGTACATACATTAGGGGAGTGGTGGTGCAATGTTAGTGGGTGATTGTTTCAATTAAAAAAGACCATTAGACTAGAATCTGGGCCTTACGATACCTCTGCAGACGACACGGGGGAGTCTGAGCACTCTGCTGGTCTACAAGGAGTTGACATTTTGCTGTTTGTCAACCATGGTTTACCATAATTGCGTGTTAAAGGATGGAGAATCTGTATGGAACAATGGCAAATCAAATGTAAAGGAGAGCAGGTAAAAAAAAAAAAAACAAGAAAACAAAGCCACAGAAAGAGATATTCATAGCAGAGTCACATTTCACAGTAAGAATGGGTATAATAATTAAAAATATGTGGAAAGAGCTGATGGCAAGTCATATACACACACACACACAAAAAGCGAATGAAGCTTTAAAAGGAAAAAAATAAATCTGAAAGGCAACCAAAGTCCCTAAATAGGTAAAATATATACATGTATGTATTAATCTATGCTTTTACCTTGTGGCCCATATAGAGATAATATATATATACAGAATTTGTAGAACTACTTTTCCCCATTTGTGTCCCTTCTCACAATATGGAAAATAATGGAGATATACATGTAGAAAGCTAATTGTACAAATTCTAGGAGACCTAAAACATTCAAAAGTATACTTGGGACACTGATTGGCTAGGAGGGGGAAAAAATTTCATCCTGAGTCCTACCTTGGGTGTGCTGGTGGCAGGGACCTGTGGGGAGGCCGCTTGACCAGCCTGACTGGACACAGAAGTAGATCGGTTTGGCGAAGCTCCTCTTGACGAAGGCCGGGATCTACGGCCTCTGGGTCGGAAAGCAGCCATACCCTGACTGGCACCATCTGCTAAAATGAACTTCTCACGCAGTTCCATGTTTGTCCTTCCTTTAGCTATATTGCACATGCACACACACACACACACACACACACACACACACACACACACATGCACACAAACAAAAGAAGGAAAAAAGAGGCACTCAATTGTCTGTGTGAAGAACAATAACTTGGCACCAGAGATCACTGAGAATTTCAAAAGCATCTTTTTGCCATGCCAACTCCAACTCAACATAACAAAAAGTTAAATGCATTCCTTTGCAATGCATTCCTTTTGGATACAAGCGAGTTTAGGGGGGAAAAAAAGTGTGCTTATTCTAACACTAGACACCAGCAAGAATAACCACTATTAAAGAGTCAGCATGAAAATGGAAAGCCCATGCTAAAATAGTTAATCCACCAGTTATTGATGCCCACATCGTTTCATTACCCTTTTCACCATACTGAGAAGACCAAGCAGTAAGGCAGGGACTGTGTCGTTTGCATGTACTATTGAGGTAAGGAGAATGGCCAGTATTTTAACATTGGGAGTAATTAAGCAACAAAATTACACAGAGTGAGAGATGGGTTGTTAATCATGATGACAACATATAATAATCTTCTAGATTTTTCACTTAAATGAAGCAGCTAGTGTTTTAATTTTATGCCTTGAAAACTTTTTTTTTTACCAACATGCAAGAACAAACACCAGACCCAAAGATCCGTGAGGTAATCAGTGATGCAGCGCTCATACAAACACATAAGCACACAGAGAACACTTCACAAGAATCAGATAAGCAACTGTGTTCGCATGTGTTTGATCACTTACGCCAACACCTGCATTTGCAACACACCGGCAGTGTGTCAATTTTCAGAATTTCAATTTGAAAGCACCAGCTCAGCTGGATATGAGTTAAGCCATACGCAATGGATGAAGCATGTTATTTTAAAACAAATGATTAAAGCAAGAATGTAAAAGTAGGAAAGAGAAAAGGAAAGAGCGGAGAGGCAAAGAGAGGGGTTGCCAACCTATAGTAGGCTGAGTAGTAGTAATTGAAGAGTTTGATTCCGAACGTAACATTTTACTCCCATGATGATGAACTAGAAAAAATGACACAGGATACCAATCACATTAAAGAATACTGTTAGCAGAAGAAGAAACAAAGTACAGTAGTTGAATACGCAAAGGGTGCTCAGACCTGGCCTTTTGCACACATTTTAGAAGAAAGTTGCATCAGGAAAGGAAGCACTCAAAGGTTTGACTCAATAAGGAGAGTATTTGGATGAAGGCCACAGGCATGCTAACTTTCCTAAGCAGCCCAGCAGAACACTATACACATTCTAATTGCTTCTTTTCATAAATGAGCTGAGCTACATTATTTTGGGCTGTAGTATTTTCAAGTTATAAAACAAAACAGGAGGTTTTGTCCTTATTTCTTTCACAGGTATATTTTTGATTTGCAAAGAGCAGGGCTACTGCATATGGTTTATAACGACCTGTGTGGTCTTGGCAGAAAGGCCTGTTTGCTGTACAGATAAGCCTATGTATTCAGATGGCAGCACAGAAATCAACAGGCCCCACTTGTGGAAGCTTGGCCTCTTGCTAGGTAGCCTACTAGGCAGAGCAGGCACAAACATTTGTCGTTGTTTGTTTTTAAAGTTTAAAATGAGCTCATAGGCTAAAGAAAATGTTAAAATTCCATTTTTTTTTCCTCAGAAAAATGAGCCTACTCAAATGGAACCTAACTAGAAATTACAATGAGATGACTATTTGTAAATCAATTAAGGATTCAAAAGTTGACTGTAGGAGCTGGAAAACAAAGATTAAAAGCCAACCTAGGGATCTTTGGTTGGTAGATATGGAGAGTGCTATAGTATTCTATGTTTATATTTTTAATTTTCTAATCTGCAACTTCAAAGTAAATGTCAAGTAGCTGGTAGTTCAACTTGGTAGTTCATTATTTTTTAATTTTTAAATTATTTTCTTTCACCTCCCCCTCATTTCATAAAAACTTTCATTTTTAAACTTTTACTATGCAGTATTTTCAGAATTCAACACCTCAACTTTCTTTCCTCTTACTTTGCTCTTTAATGACAGATGAAATCCTTTCCCTGGTTTGTTGTAAGTGTTTTAAAAATCACAGAAGGGAGGGTTTCATCAAGAAAAACTATTCTAGTATTCCTGCTACCTGTCTCATATTTATTTATCCAGAGAAGTAAAAAAACAATGAAAAGAACATGGTTTACATGACTGCCACAAGTTCTCTGGGAACTTTAGGCTGACAGAGAGCAATGTGAAATACTGTTTGGATAAATGACCAAAATTATACCCAGCATGCTTTTGATGCTGGAAAATAATATAGACTTGAAACATTTTCATGGTGTTATTATCTTGACATAAGCAACTCCTTACCCCTGCAAGGATCATTTTTCACTAAGAACTCATCAAGTGCCATCCATCCACCTCCAACACGAACCATCACAGTACTTCGTAGGATCCGAACAAGTCGCAGTTGCTGGGAATCTCCAAACTGTGCAGATGAAGAAAGAAAGAACCTCTAATTGTCAATAATAATTCTAAATTAAAGGGTGATGCACAATCTGCAATAGCTTAAGCAACCAGTTTTAATTTCTTGTTTAGTTCACAGCGATTAGTAAAATCTAAGAAAGGGGGTCTGCAATGGTCTGCGTTAGACGGCCACATGCTGATTTAGCCCAAAGGGAACAGTTTGGAAAAAAGATAAAGGTTATCAAGTATAATACAGAAGCTTTGGTCTAAGAAATATCTTTATTTCTTATGATATAAACAACATTAGTAAAGCAATAATTGAAAAATATTTCTAGATATTAATGCAGCCATGAAAACAAGCACTGGCCCAACTTGCCCAGGGCTCATACAAAGTAAGATGATTCTGAAGAAAATGTCATAAACTGATTCCTCTTCATTGTTACATTAAAACTATTGTCCACTGAAATTTGTGGAAGAAATCTTCATAAACTCATTTCGTTTTCTCTAAGAGGTTTGGCTTAGGGAGAATAAAGGGGTCAGTGAATGTGACCAGTAAAATTTCATAGGCAACTACAATTTCTGCATCCCTAATGATCTGGTAAACCAATTTGTTAAAGGTGGGTTAATATGCCACCTTAGATTACTTTCATGTCAGAAGAGCCACTGTCACATTATTAGTAATTCAGCTTTCAAATCCAAAAGGGTTTCTCTCAAAGCTGATTGTACCATAACTGTAGACACTAACAAACAGTCAATGGATCTCTTATCACCTGAATTTGCTATGGAGTCTGCAAGTCCTGAAAACAGTTTCTAAGACTAGTCCCTGATCATAACGTTTGTTTGTTTTGAAAGCCCATGAGAAATGATTTTATACCTTAAAATCATTTCTAATAGGTTAATGTTTAACTTATAAAAATCACCATGCTGAATTTCATGGTTGCCAACCCAGCAAATAACACAGCAAGATGAACATAAAATTAAATATAATAGCTTCTTTTTAAGATAAATAAGATACAACTGTCACTTTGTCTATTTGTCTGGGCTCAAAATGGATAAACAGAAAACCTTAAGTAATGGAATCCTAAAAGGAAGCCAACCAAATCCCATTCAAAATCCTAAAACTCAGAAGGGCCTGGAAAGCACGTAAAATGCACCAGCAGGAACTCATGCGTTTTACATCAAACCATTTCCAATCACTATTTCTAAATTTATTTTTAAACCTAACTTCAATTTTCCTAGAATTAAACTTGCACCTGAAAATGTAAATTAAAATTTAAAACTCAAAATCTATGTTGATTTTGTTAGAAAAATTTGGGTGCTGCTAATAAGCAAAGGGAAAGGAGGGGGGGTGGGTTAAGAAAATTACCCTAAGGAACCAGATAATTGGACCAGATAATTTTGGTCCAAGATTACATTCAAAACAAATGTTTTGCAGATATCACTAAAGTATTTTGTAGAGATGAAATTTCAATTCTAATAAAAATGTATGTTTTAAATTATATTTTGGAAAGGCATTCTCCAAACAACTAACATTATCCTCAGAATTTCCCTAATTTTCCCACTCATAAGGCAAGAAAAAATAGACTAATGTTTTTTGTGCTTTCAGTGAATACAGCTCTTTGAGGTATTTCTTTCTCCTTCTCCACAAATAAAAGATGCTATCCCAATTGCTGACTTTGAAACTAACAAGAATGGAAAAGTAAACTTTTTAAGTATTATAATTAATGAAAGTTTAAAAAATCTATTCAAAGCAACTATTTCTGTTTTAAAAAAATATTTGCTTGCAATAAATGGTGAGAATATATAATCTGAAGCTTGAGTTGTAAAATGGCTTAAAAACTGACTGGCAGAGCAATATCCAATATGACAGTGGTCAGGTACTAGTTCTTTCCAAAAGCAAATAGTAAAGAACTCTTCTCTTTCACAAACATGTTTAAATCAAAATATGATTTCTCTCTTCTTTAGTTCTAAAATTCTGATCATGGTGCTTTGCCAATGGATGATTTATACAGACTTAAATGTGAGGTCCAGGTGGCATACAATGTGAGTTTAAGATTTCATGAGTTGTAAGAGACAAATTTCCTTAACAGGAATGGCATCACTGACGAGTTAAAATTTCTACTCAGAGGATGCACAGTGCTAGGGTAAGAATAAATCAGTGATTTAGAACCAATGGATAGAACCAATGGATGATTTAGAACCACAGAATAAATCAGTGATTTAGAACCAATGGAGTAAACATGTTACTTCGTGGCTGACTGCCCTGGAGACCTTGACTGCTCTGCTTTCCTGTGTCACTGCCTGATGCTGATCCTTCTCTAGCTACCAAATACCATATGCCCTTAATGATTAAATACCAACATGGCTACACAGAGGTGTGTGGAGAACCAAATTTGTGTTCCAATGAGTACTTCGCATAAAAAATATACTAATAATATTAATATATATTGGAATTGAACATTGCATTTAACACTGTAGTCAGACAAGCTGCAATTCATTATCTGGTTCGCTTAAAAGTAATCTCCTCATTTAAGACACAAGGCAAAAAGGAATCCTGGATTGAGGACCCTTATAGCGCTTACAGAAACACCACGCCAACCAACAATGTAGTAGCTAGGGGGACAGCATGGGAAAGATTGGCCATGGCAAGCTTTAATGACTATGAATTAAAATAAAAAATAATTGGGAACTTGAGAATACATTCCACTGGTTTATACCTGATTTCCCAGGAAGAACTGACAAAAAAAAAAAAAAATGAAAATGGGAGAAAGACAATTAGTTCAACAGGAAACTTCTATATGACTCTAGAACACACACACTCTCACGCGCTGGATATAGTATCCAGTTTAGAGATGTGCAGGTACCCAGTTATCCCAACTTCAAGCCAAATAAATGAGAAAATTTCTCTACTGATTTTCTGGAAAATCTCTGGGTTTCAAATTTAAGGTAAAAATTTGAGTATGTCGATGGATTATTTTCAATGTGAAAATATAAAAGTAAAAAATAATGTTTCCTTTGTAAGTAGCACACTGTATTAGGGAAACTCAGCATATATCCTATCTAGGTCCTACATAAAAGAGGTATTCTAAAAAAGAAACAAAAGACAGAGAAATAGTGATGAAGTCATATTTTTCTTCAACTAATTATTTTGAAGAAGGTAAACTGAGTTGTTCTATTTCAGATGAAAGCAATAACGATTGCACAACTGGAAAACACTGCTTCTTTTTCATAATCATAAAAATGAGTCAACATTTTTAATTTTATGGTTCTAGCTTGGTTATTCGAAATCTGAAAACTTACCTCTAATCATAATAAAAAATATTATAAAGTAATATGAAGCAATATGAGATTTGAGTGTTCTCCTGTAATATTATTCTCCTTAAAAATAATGAATGTGTATATATTTCAAAGATACGTCCTAATATATAAAATGTAGGCTATCTTTATATAACTTAAAATTATGAAAGTTGTAATTTCATATACCATTAAATTGTGTTATGAGGTAAAAATAAATAATTAGGATTCCTAGAAAATAACACGGATCAAACTGTATACAAAATTTTAACTTATATCCCTTAGAAGAACTACCGAGCTGTTTTGAAAACTTACCCTGTATTTGTTATCTCCGATCTGTTCAACTTGAAATCGTTTTGCACATTTACACTTAGCTACCTGCCTTGTCACCTGCCAAAAACAATGATGAAATATTCACTTCAATGTTAATATTACAAAGTGGAATCCTTAAAACTTTGACACGACAATCAAACGTAAAGAAATAAAATGGTCATATGAATTGCGCCTGGTATTCCGGCGGAACACGCTATCATTATGGCAGGCAGTGGGAAGATAACCAGTACCTCATCTTCAATTTTATCAGCATCGGTGACAGGTTTATATGCATCCTTATTTGGGTGAAGGGCTGCTACAAATTCATAGTAGTCAATATATCCGTCGCCGTCTCTGTCGAAGATGTCTGCAACTGCACTCATCTCCAGGCGACTGGTTGGGAACTCTAAAATTTTCAGAATAATAGTAAGTAGTGGATGTTCATTCTACCTCAATTACACATTTTAATCTGAGTATCTCAGTGTGCAGTAGGTTATATTAGCATGGTGATCAAACATATTAAAGGCCTTAAAAAAAGAAAAAAACTTATTTACATCATTACAAACAAATCAGCTTTATATGTAACCCAAATTTATCTTTAATTACAATTAGGGTGAACCACATGAAAACGGCTGTTTCTGTAGGTTGAAAACTGTTTAATATTAGCAATTTCAAACGGGGAAATTTACTTTAAGAATGACTTTCAGTAATATTTGCCAGGGAAATCACATGCATATGACTAAAACATCAAACAAGAAGGTGACATATACTTTAAGAATTTTTAGAGTTGTAATTTTGTATTAATGAGATTGTTAGATTAGAATGTGAATTGAAAACAAAAAGAAAGGAACAAGGAACTTTCATTTACTGACTTTCTATTACAAGCGAGGCAACAACCTAAGAATCAAATATTAGTACTTTATTATACTAATGAGGACACAGATTCAGTGGGGTGAAGGCATGTATCTGTAGTTACACAATTAACAAGTGTGCCTGACTCCCAAACCACAAATTTTACTAAGGACTTTTTTATTAAGGACAGTGACTTCCTAGTCAAGTAAAGGCAAAGTTTTATTAAGTAAGCCAAATTTACCAGCCCCGCAATTTTAAACTGGGCTTATTTTCTTTAAAAATTGTATCAGTTAGTCGTCTATCTTGGAACTTACTTGAGGAAAGAATTCCATCAATAAATTCTTGTCGGGTTATTTTTCCATCCTGATCTTTATCAATTCTCCTGAAGAAGTCCATCACTCGAGATTTCTTGTGATTCATCCATCGCATGTACTTTTTACGCCAGATATCAAAATCAAAGTTAGCAAATTCCCTCAGCTAGAAAGAGCAAAAGGTATTTTTTGGTTGAATTAATGCTGCACTCAAATTATGTCTTATATTGTATCCATAAAGTTACTTTTAATGATCTTTTAGGGAATGCACATAAATTACCCATTTCCAAAAAAGGCATAATCTTGAAAAGGGGACTCAGAAACATTTTTTCTATAAAGTCTACTGCATTACTATCACTGAACTTTCTTTACAAATAGAAGAAACCAAATTAAAAAAATCAAACTGAAAATTTCTGATAATGCCCAAATCACAATGGTGGTCTGCCCCCGAGTACCACCACTAGTACTCTGCCCACTGCACGCACGCCCAGCTCAGTATAACTTCTCTAATCCCTTGCTTTCTCTCCCTTTCCTATGAGCCATTCCCTTAACTCCTGTAAAACCAAAAAAAAAAACCCAAACCTGTTGCCGTCCAGTCAATTCCTACTCATAGTGACACTACAGGACAGAGCAGAACTGCCCTATAGAGCTTCCAAGCAGCAGCTGGTGGATTCGAACTACCAACCTTTCAGTTAGCAGCCGAGCTCTCAACCACCAGGGCTTCCTCCTAACTTCCCTAGACTTCTGAAAATTTCCTAACTTAAGAATCTGAAACTCTAAATCTCAAATCATAGAATATATATAATTAAAGATCTGCATTGTAAATGATGATATTTGCCAGGTAGTACTACCAACAAATATATTGCAAGTTTGATCTTTTCTTAAAGAGCCATCCTCTGATTATGTTAAAACATATTCATTTTTCACTTCATTGATTCTCTAACTCCAAATCCCATAAATCAGTTTCTCACAAAAATGTAAATACTTGCAGTATCAATTTTAGAGGTAAAACATACATTCAAATAGCAAGACTTTACTTATCCATTATCAGAAAATTCTAAAAAATCAAAATTTTGACAAAGTGTTATGATGAATACAGGCAAATGGCAATATGGTGAATGTATGAGCTTTCTAACCTCCTCCAGTCTGTCCAAAGCGTCATTTAGCTTCCTCCTCCTTTCCAATGCAAGGAGCCAGACTTGCTGCCATTTGCTCACCAATAAGTTTACTCTGGGGTTCTTGGTTTCTATTTGCGTCTGTGATCCAGAGGGATATAAGCTTGATGCTGGGAAGCGTTTTCCTGTGCAAATGTAACTTCAGTTAGGATAGCAGAGTTTCCAGGGTCCTGAAATATGTTAAAGCTTGGCCTTTTCTTTTCCTGGCTAAGACTGAATCAACTTACTTATTGAAAATTACGAGTAGAAATATCCTAACTTAGATGACATATAATGTCAAGGTCCAAATGTGTTTTACTTATTAAGGATCACATACTGTTCATATAAATTAGAGAAATACATCTTAACGGGGGCATTTAAATATTGTAACATTCTCTCATGAAACTTATACTGAAAGCATTTTCCAGCTTAAGATTCCTGTCACTTCAATCACAAGGAAGCACTTTGTGATCCTCCTCTTTGCTAAGACAAGATAAAGGAAATCTCCTAGGAAAGTGAGACATGCTTTAGAATCAACTACAGCTGCCCTTTTTTTAGAGGATAAGACTGAAAGAGAGGAGGTGAGGGCAGGAGGCACTGGGACATCATTAGAGTCACAACAAGGTACTTTACAAATTCGCAAATATTCAAATATGGATGCGCACATGTCAGGCCCCAGCTTTCTCCCAAACCATCTTTCTACTAAGACTGATGTGTTTCCTGTGTGTAGTCACGTGCCCAAACATACTATCTTACTCAAGTTTTCTCCCTGTGTCTGGCTATTGTCACAAGTTTCTATAACTTCACAAAATAACTATCTTAACACATTTTGCTCATCTAACTGCATGGTTAAATGTGGCTTAGAAAAGCTACTGACCTAAGGGCCTACAGAAAGTTAGTGTCCAAGCTGGGATTTGCCTAGAATTCCTAACTCCCAGACTAGGGCTATTTATAAACATTAATGGCTAATATTTATTATTTACAATATGCCCAGAAGTTTGCTAAGCACTTTATATGCATTTTCCATTTAATCCTCACAGCAGTCCAATAAGGTTATGATTATCCTCTTTTATAGCTTAGGACACTGATGCTCAGAGAGTTTAAGTAACTTGTCAAACGTTACATTTCTCTGCTGGGGTGGGGACAACCAGGGATTCTGGCTTCAGAGTTCTTAATCACTTTGTTACCCTGACTTCTTGTATTAGGTCTGAAATCACTTTTTTTAAATTAAAAAAAAAGTGTATGAAGGCACCATTCAGATACATATAAAACGTACAATACAAATTTTGCTTTTGTTAAATCTCCAAGTTAACTATTACTGTTTTTAATGTCATTTCTTTGGGTCAAGGTAGCCAGAGAAGTAAGTAAATAGAGCCTCTAATCAAATGAACAGGGGCAAAATCTGTTATATTGCCGGTTACTAGTGAACAGTAGGTTCATGAACTTTAGCCATGTGATGGTCATTTTTTGTCCCATTCATAGAAGAGAAATGAGATATAATTCAAAGGGATTGGTGATTTCTGGTTCTGTTGAAAAAATTTCCAATTTATTCTAACTAATCTGTAAGATACACTTTGAGCAAATGAAGTTATATACAGGGACCTGGATATATCTTTTCCTGTACTTTTAATCAAACTGCTACAATTCTTGAGCCCATATATTCTTTCAACAAAACTTTTTGTGATACAGATCTCATGTAGAATCCCTTAATTGCTCCAAGATTTCCAATGATAACTTTACGTAAAAGAAAACTGTCTTCCTTGCATAACCATCTTCACTGTAAAGAAATCGGATACTGCTTACTTCCTGCTCGTCCCTTATCCAGGACTGGAATATGGGACTGTAATGAGGAAGGATCAGCTGCTCTCCTCTTATAGGTCTTGGTAACTTTATCTACATCAGGCTGCTTTCTGGTCATTTCCTCCATGAAGGTCTGAAATGGAAGAAATTATTTCAGTTAAATAAAAGTGTATTAGAGAAAACCACCTTCAGAAATGAACTGAAAATAAAAGGAAAAAGGAATTGTGTTATTGTTTCCAAAAAAGGGGAAAAATCATCATGTTTTATCTTAAGGGGAAAAAAAAGTCAAAACCATCATAGTACAGCATTTACAGAAATTACAATTCTAATTTCTAAAGAATGTAAAATGTTATAGCTGGCAAAGAGTAAATTTAAATACAAAAATAATGATTTGTTTCACTTTAATAAACCATGCATGGGAGCAGTTATATGAATAACCAAACGTAACACCAACCAAACTTAAGCGTCCACAACTCTCTTGAAGAATCTTAAGTGAGCGTTTGGCTGCAAAGGAACTAGTTAACTGGGGTAGTCCCTGGGACTTTTCTGTGCGGCATTTCACTTGAAACACTGAAGATGACTTTGATATATACAGGCGTAAAGCATCCACATCAAATGTGGGTATGTTTTAAATATGTCTATTAACAAATAAACTATGCCAGGGAGGGTAATGTTAAAGTTTATCAGGTGTATTTAACCCATTTGAACATCTTATTCCTTTTCTCATCTCCTTAGGCTATCATTGACTAGGTATCCTTGTATCTGGAACATGTGCGAAAAGCTGAGGAAAGGCAGAGACTGTGGTAAAATATGGAGGAGGGACAGAACTGAAAGGTGCAGTAACATGTTCCCAGAATATCTGTCACACTGGAGAACACTGATCACAGGGAACATGGCCTGAGACACTTCAGAGCCATTACGTTAACTGCTTAACTGGGCCAACATTTAAAGTTTCAGTGGTTTCCTTTGTAAATTTATATCAAACAAACAGATAAGTAAACAAATAAATCAGAGTTAGTGTGATGCTCATCATGTCAGAGATTAAAACAAGTAGGATATGTAGGAGAAGTACTGTTTCTGAGACACAGGATGTGGTCTCTTTTATAACCTGCAGTGCTGATGGCCATTTTAGGAGGTATTTAGCAGCATACTAATGAAAATGCAAACATGGAATAGTACAAAGTGCCACTTGAAGCCATGGGTGTGGATGAGATCACCAAAAGAAGAGGCAAAGCAAAAGGAATAGAGCGCTGAGGATAAAATTTATGAAGAGCTGCCATTTAGAAGGCAACAGGTAGGGCAGGTGCCAATCTGCCAATCTGAGACAGTGCACAGGATTACCAGGTAACTTCACAGAGGACAAAAGAGAAAGAAGTTTCACAACGATCACAGAGGGAGAAGGAAGACCATCAAAATTAAGTAACTGAAAGCAGGGGTGGATTAACCAGTAAGCAAGGTATGCACAGGCTTACACTAAGCAAGGTACACATGGGCTTACTTGTGTTTACTTACTAATCTGTAGTGAATGATTTCACATGGGTTTCACCACGTCAAAGAAACCCGTGTGAAATCGTTCACTACAGATTACTAAGTACAGACAAATCAGCCAGTATGTATCTTGCTTATTGGGTAATCCGGCCCTGGTAAAGAGAGAAGTTTAGGGCAGTTGTAGAATTAGAAACCAGTTGTAAGGAGTTGAGGACTATGACTGAGAAAATGAAGGTAACAAGCACAAAGAAATCTTTTGAGAAGTAAGAAAGGAAAGAATATCTGAGAAGATGGCTAATGGCCTAGGATTATATTTATTTTACCTGGTGCTCTGCAATGAGGGCTTTCACCTCTTCAATCTCCTGGGGGATGACCTCCTTATCCTTCTCACTAAGTGTGGTTTCAGCCCACTGCAACCAAGTCAGCAAAGCTTCCAACAACTCCTGTTTAGCAATGAGCCCTGCCAGTGCACTCGCCAATCTCTGCTGATGTTGCTTCGCCCAGGCCAGCACCTATTGGAGAAACAGAAATTTCTCTGAATTTCTTCCAACTTGGTGAATAGTTTCATTGATATAAAACACACAAATTTAAGGATGTAAATTAGGATCACCCTGGGCTTGACCTATGATGCTTCCACCCTTTTTAGATTCCCATTAGTGGCACCAAGGCTCAGCCCATGGAGGATATGGGAGCTCTCCATTATATATGTCACCTTCAGAAGTTTAAACATGTACATCAATCACCCAGGCTTCCTCACAGAAGTTCAGATAGGTATTCTCTGAAGGACCAAGTATGCTTACTCCATGCAGCACAGAGTGGAAATGAAAAACGCTAAGATCTTACATACAGAATTAATTTGCTTTTGTGTATGCCAATTCACTTCACAAGCATATATTGCTCTAAAATACTATTCAATTGCTAGATTATTCAACTAACACAAAGTGGAAATGTATAAAATGTTATACAGTGAACTAGATCTTTGCCTTTTAATGTCTCGGGCACAGCTGCAAAATTCCTTTTTTTTCTTTTTTAAGTGAATCACAGAGACTGGTAATGCTCACAAACCAAAAAACAAACCCATTGCCATTGAGTCAATTCTGACTCACAGTGACCCTACAGAACAGAGTGGCATTGCCTCATGTGGTTTCCAAGGCTGTAAATCTTTATTGAAGTGGACTACCACATCCTTCTGCCACGGAGAAGCTGGTAGGTTTGAACAAGTGACTTTTTGGTTAGCAGCAGAGCACTTAACTACTGTGCCACCAGGGCTCCTAATGCTCACAAGTGTATTTTAAAGAAACTTTTTCTCTGCAGAGGTCTCATTTTCCCATCTTAATTGCTGGAATTTCCCACTCCCTCCCAACTATCAAAGCAACTGCTGCTCTAAAGACTATCTGAGACCCACTGACCTCCTCAAACCTGGCCCGGATGATGGTTATCCAGTGCTTAATGGTGGTGATGGAGTCAGGGTGGCAGATGGACAACACGGCGTCTCCCATACCGGTGGCTTTGTTTAGTTCAGCTCTTTTTTCTTCCAGTTTCTTCATGAATTCCTATAGCAGAAACAAAGACCTCAATTAGCTGCTGGCACAGGTTGAGAACAAAACTCTGGTGACGTTCATCTGACTGTCAGAGTTAAACAAATAAGCAAGAACCTAGACTGGTTTATTCACAGTTGGAAAGAATCCACTAATTGGGGAATCAAGGGAGGAGAAGGGAAAGGAATAGGAAATAAAACACTTTCTAATTGTTATTTTAAAATACAAGCACAGGATAATATCTTATGCTCTACAAAATACATTATACAAAAAAATACACTCTCCTAAGTTTGGATGTATTACATTTACATTATTAATGGAGATTAGGAGTTCAAGATTGGGAGAAACAGTAATAGCAGAGACAGAAATTGTAATGAGTGCCAAAAAAAAGTATTCTAAAAAAACAAGGTTACTATTTAAAATAGCATTGATTTTGCCAGGAAAGATAGGAATATGTGCAAGAAAGTGCCAAGGAAGAAAGATGGCCGGGCAAGGAGCTATAAATGTTTAGGGCTGTGGGAAAGAGGCTCAAAGTGTTCAGGCAGGCAGGCTGGATTACTCAATAAGCAAGGTACACAAGGGCTTACTTATGCTTACTTACTAATCTGTAGCGCACAATTTCACCTGTTTTTCACCACACCAATGATGTGGTGAAACCCATGGGAAATTGTGCGCTGCAGATTAGTAAGTAAAGGCAATTAAGCCCAGGCAAACACTGCTTACTGCTTAATCCACCCCTGCAGGCAGGAAACAGCCAGGGGAGGCGTGAAGGGAGTAGGCCTGACAGCAGGCTGTGTGAGAACTGTGTCCCTCAGGAACGCCAACAAGCACCACTCTCCTCTGTTTCTGGCAGCTCTAGCCAGTTTCCATAGGGAGCAGGATAAACAAAGTCTGCATGGGCCAAGGGCAGTCTTTCATATTGATCTTGTTACAAATGTCTCACATACATCATTGTACTTTCTATCATCAGAACTGTATCCAGAGATACACAGATCACAGAACTCTGAAAGTATGGTTAAAAAATGAGGACCTTTTTCCTAAAAAATGTGACAGGCCTCCAAAACCTCATGTAGAGTTTCAGAGCCTTCAGATACCCCTATCTATTCCAACTCCTGCACTACAAGGATTACTTATCACACTGACAGACTGAATAAATGCTTTTCAACCCTTTTATTTATACATGTTCACTGTTGTGACATCAAGGTTTAATCAGCAATATACTCTGCTATCATGACTAAGTTTTCAACATGGAATATTTTTCTGGACTCCTCTGTCAATGCCCCACTACGCTCCGTGCTCTTCAGATCTAGTCTGAGTGTTACATCTTACCGCTCTGTACTCATGCGGGAACGCCTGCCATTGTCAGATATTGGACTATACTGAGAAGTCCTGGCACTACAAAATTAAATTAAATGTTCTGTTTTTCTTCTATTGGTGAATGGGTGAAGGGAAGCAGAGGAAATTACAAAGAATGAATAATGCCACTGCACAATATTACTACTAAAAAGTGGTTTATAAAATTACATGTAATTTTATGCTCTTTAAAAATATTTAAAAATTATTTGTTGTAAAGACCACTACTTCTGCTCTAGATGCCTGCTTCCTGGAGTTTCTGAGTGTTTCTTGGTCCTGAAGTGAGGGGGGGAGGCACATTCATGCTTCTTTCTATAGGGGTGGCAGATATGCACTATGGGGTTCAGAGAGTCCAGCTCATACTTACTCCTACTCTGAGACCCAAACCCAAGTTATGTTAAAAACCAAACCAAACTCATTGCTGTCAAGTCGATTCCGACTCATGGCGACCCTATAGGACAGAGTAGAACTGCCCCATAGGGTTTCCAAAGACAGGCTGGTGGATTCAAACTGCTGACCTTTGGTTAGCAGCCATAGCTCTTAACCACTTCGCCACCAGGGTTTCCAAGTATGTTAGTGGGACTCTAAAATAATACGGGCGGGGGGTCAGCCCACAGCAAAATAATATAAACTATATTTTCAAATTATTGAACTGAATCAAAGATTTACAATAAATGTGATGTAATTTTCCTATCTTTGTATTCTACCTTCAAATTTAAATGTGGTAGGGAGCATTACTTTCCTCCAGATAATGCTATACAAGCTTGCATCACTTTTATTAACAACAAGGCAATAGTTCACCCCTCAAGGTTCAGCAACCAATCATTGAGAGAGCATGTTAATTAAAATAAGAAGCCTCTACAGATGATGTAATCCACGCTACACTGGAATTAGTGATGTATTTCCAAGCTGACCTTGAAAAACGTGGTTATTCAGTGGTGTTAAACAGATCTTTTAAAGTTATTAGGAAATGCTGACATCAACCCTACCACGAATGGCAGCCTTGCAAATCCCTGACTTTTAGAGTCAAAGGTTAAAAAACATCTGTTAAGAGCTATCTGGACCACTCATCTTCAGGGTTCTGCTAAGTTCTGTGCATTCTCACAGAAAAGATCTTGCCTTAAAAACCCAATGGCCAGATTTTTACTTGGCTAATTATTCAGTAGTACATCTAGTTACATAATTCATTTTTAAATTTGTGATTTATACTATGGGTTACTTCTAAAAAGGATTTAAGGGGGCTCTTGATTAAAAACAGAAGCAGCAGATAGATAAAAATAAAATTCAAAGACCAGTTATTAAATTATTTGCTTGTCTTGCTTACAAAGGTCAAAATTATTAATTTACAATTCTACTGGTATAATTTATAAATGCCAAAGCTGCTCATTAAGGACATTTTTGTTTTGAAATTCACATAGACGCGCAACAATATTAATTTTGGTCAGAAGCCAAACAACCCCTTGGAAAACTCAATGTGCTTCCTTAAGATAGGAAACAGAGTGACTAATTTTAGAATAACCTTCTCTATAAAGAAAACGTAAAAAGATAGGTACCTATACTTGCAGGTTCAAAGGTACACACACATACACAAGGAAAATACAGCTAAATTCTTAAATGTACTAGGATCTTTTATTACTTCCAGAAAGGAAAATGATCATGCAGTTGATATTTGCAAGCATGAGTCTATTTTCCCTACTTTCTTTGATTTTCTCATTTAGTTCTTAGTATTTATACATAACTCACTTTATGCTGATCGATGAGATTCCGAAGAGCATCTTCATCATCTGGGAGAATGCCATGGAAGCGAAGGGTTTGCTCTGCCTCAGCCAGCCACTCCAGGAGGGCATGCACCACGGAGTGAAATTCCTCTGCCTAAAAATTCACACACAAACACATCCCAAACAAGATCCCCAAATATACCTGGTTAGCAAAATTTACGTAAGTGCACAGTAAATTCCTCTCCTCAATGAAAAAAAAAATTCTTAAATTTAAATTAATTATATGCATTTAAAAAAAATTGCTGCCACTGAGTCGATTCCAACTCATAGTGACCCCCAGTGTTTCAAACTAGAACTGTGCTCCATAGTTTTCAATGTCTGTGACCTTTCTGAAGTAGATTGCCACATCTTTCTTCTGAGGAGCCTCTGGGTGGATTTGAACTGCTAATCTCTTGGTTAGCAATTGAGTGCTTATCCGTTTGCACCACTCAGAGACTCCAATATACGCATTCCAAAAAATCAAAATCAAACCCGTTGCTGTCGAATCGATTTCAACTCACAGCGACCCTACAGGACAGAGTAGAACTGCCCCATAGGGTTTCCAAAGAGCGGCTAGTGGATTCAAACTGCCGACCTCTTGGTTAGCAGCTGTAGCTCTTAACCACTGTGCCACCAGGGCTCTATTATATGCATTAACCTCCCATTAAAAAGATAAGGATATATGGTACTGCATTTTACAAATATAAGAGAACATCTAATATGGCAAACGGTGTATATGAAGACTAATTCACCATTTTAACAAACCGACTGTAGGTGGAACAACAATCCATCATCCTTTCAAGCTGAAAAATTACTGCAGCAGCACCTTCGACTGAAGATTAGAAAACTTCCCTCTTTGAGTAGTTTAAATTCTTGAGCGGGAAGAACTAAGGCAATGATGTTATGAGAATTCTGTTCATCACTGCCCTGGTAAGAAATGAGGAGCCTCACAGTTCTTTATTACAGCAGTTCTTGCTGGGGCCTCAGTACTTTGCTCATGACACACAGCGATAGTTTACGTGATTTTTACCTGACGCAGGGCTGCTTCTAGCCGGGTTTGCTTCGATATAGAAAGTGCACACACAGTCTCCCAGCGGGTGCTTAGTTCTTGCATCTGGACCTTGACCCAGGAGGAGTCATCACGACTCCCCTCAATGAGCTCTCGGGCTGAGCGCTTCAGGGCCTGCACGCTGCTGGTCCTCTTCCCCAACTCTTTCTGGAAGACCTAAGACGACCATATCTTTTAAAATTAATTTTTAGTTACAAAACCAAAACAGTAATATATATATCACATCATGTGCAGGTTTCCAGACATACAATTTAATGACCATATTTTTTTGCAGAATCTTCGGAAGATCTGAAATGACACATTGCTCCTATTGGAGCATCGTCAAGAACAAAATCTTGCATCTATTTAGTTTTGTAACATTCTCACGAAGGGCCAAGATAAGATGAACTTATGTTTTAAGTGGGAAACTGGATTTAAATAATGGTGGCTGGCCTTCTTTATTTCAATTCCACATTAAAAAAAAAAAAAAAAATCAAATTCCTTTTTTTCTCTGACCCTTCAGTATGATATTTGAATTTCTCTCAAATTATTGGTGTGAGTGTCAAGTGCATGTTGGCTGCACAAAACTTTTAATTAGTAAACATCGAAGAGACTAATAGATGACTGAGCAATCCTGGAGCATAACCATGGGGGTCTTAAAGATAATGAAAGAGAAGCCCAGAGGGAGTCAGTCCTTTTTTGCCCCTAACATGCCTTTGGCTTTCATAGCATCCTGAGTACTATCCTGTAATGTCAAATTTTAGAGGCTTAAATCCTTATCTGTCACCTTAGAGGAAAAGCTTTTTGTTTCCTCTTCTGCCTAATTCTGATGAACTCTGATATGCCAGGAATTAAACTGGCTTCTTTTGGCCACAGACTTAATCCAAGAAATGGCCCCAGAGGTCTTCATTTCTGATCCAACATTCTGTATATGAAATTAGTTCTTTCAAAAAATCATCCTCTGTGTAGAGTAAAATTAACTTATTTTTCTAAAAAATAATCACAAATGAATATTAACCAAAAACATCCCATAATTTTGGTTGTTTCTATTCTGATACTCAGGTCACTTACAAAAGACAGCCTATCAAAAACAATCCAAACCTAATGTGATGAATTCCCTGATTGATTTCATTCTAACTGTTAAATTAGCTGTGTCTGCAGATACACACACACACACAAGATACAATATTTAAATTTTCCATTTGTGATAGGACTAATCCAATAGTTTTGAGTTGACTTTCCAATGTACTTTGTATACTTAAACTTCTTTTTGAGCCTTCCAATTGTATTACTAATGCTGAATGATTAATTCATTCTTGATGACCTTGAATATGTAAAAAAAAATCTGGCAAGTACCTAGGGTAGTAAATATTTAGACAGTGAGCTTATAAAAATTTGGTATTTATGTAAAAAATAACATCATACTATCCATTACTCACTAAATAAATGCCAAGGAGTGGACAAGTTTGTATTAATCATGCACAAAAAATCGTTTCAATATAGGCAAAGTACTTTTTAAAACTTTAAGTTTTGTAGGCCTGATCAGTGTTCTTTGTCTATTATTTTCTGTTAATATCCAAGTGGAACAAACTCTTTTTTATGGGAATAAGGAGAGAATAGAGCTTTAAAATGGACAGTAAATATACAAAAGGACATTTTAAATAGATAAGATCAAAACAGCACAACCAGGAAAGTATAAAGAAAGAATTTTAAAATAAAATGAATTTTCTAAACTCAAAAATTATAGAGAGGAAACGCAACATGAATTGTAGTAGGGGACTATAAAATATTTGTATATAAATACAAATTAACTCTGGTAAAACTATTTTACATGAGCACTGTGCTTCATGTTTTTTCCAAGGTTGTTTCATTATATCATTTGATTATAACTTAGGATCTCACATTCAGTGCCAGCTTGGTGTCTCGATTATTACTTTAGATTTGCATGACAGTTTAACATACATATCAGGAGACTGCAAGCAAACCAATTTTCTTAAAATAAGTGAATAATCAAACCTCTCATAGCACTTTCTGTTATAAATTGCCACAATTCGAGGGGCAAGGTTAAAACATTTTAAAAAAGAAAAGTAGCTGATCATGACCCCATAGGTCATGTCACAAATCCACATACTTATGCAATAACTGAGTTCTAGGCCACTGAACAAATGATTTTAAATTATATTATGCAATTGTTTAAATAAATAACACAAGAATAGTAAAACATTCTTGAAACATGTTTCAAAGCATCAGAGAATGAAATTACTTTCCACGTTCTAACTTTAAATATAGTAATTAAAAATAAGAGTATTTCACTGTTATAAAGTTACTTTTCCCAATCACTTACTAGAGTTGGTTTCCTGATTCTGTTCAAACTTATTATTTCAGTATTAAAGATTATTATGCAGTATGATATACAGTCTACTGATTTTAAAAGGCTAAGTTAATTGGTTACTTTTCCCTCTATAATCAAACCACAGATAAAATGTTCCAGATAATGATACCTTGTGATTATCAATCAGATTCATCACTAAATCAATGTCTCCATGGACAGGCTGATCTTCTGCCAGCTGGGGTTCGACTCTATACAACCAATCAATGAGGGCCTGCAGGGCATCAGTGAATTGTCCAGAAAATAACAGGGCTTCTTCCAATTTGTTTTGTCTGCAGGAAAAAAAAAAAAAAAGTGGAGAATCAATTTGAGCAACAAAAAGCCATCCCTGTATATCTGAGCATGTCAAATTCATTTATGAAGGTGGGGCAGTGCTCAAGAGGAAAAACAATATATTGGTGATCACCGCTATTTCTTTGTTTTGCTTGGAGAATAACAAAACTTTTCTTAAGACATTTCTCAAATTTTCTGTTTTATTGCTTAAATACATGGCATCCATTCCATAAAAATTCTCTCATGATCACCTTTGGGAATCAATGACCCTTCAGTTTCCTCATAGAAGTATGCCTCTTTAATAAAAAAAAAAAAAAATTCTAAATTTTACTAAAAAAATTATTATACAGTAAAATTGACTTTTTTTGGCATACAGGCCTATGAATTTTAATACATGTACAGACTCATGTACCATCATCACAGTCAAGTTCCACTGCCCCCAAAATCTCCCTCGTGCTATCTCTTTATAGTTACACATCACACCCTTCCGCATCTCTAACCCCTGGCATCCACGGATCTGTTTTCCATCACTGTAATTTTGTCTTTTCGAGAATGTCATATAGATGGAATTAAACAGTACATAATCTTTTGAGACTGGAGAAGTCACAATTTTTTTAAAACTGAGTGTGAAGTTTCCTAGAACTGAACTTCATAATCTATTTAATCTTGATTCTGACAAAGTGATGAGACTAAAGATCAATGAAAAATTTGAAAACATAAAATTTATAAGACATTTTATCTTTGAATTCTCCCACTACTACTGTAGTTTATTCAATACTTAAAATTTTTTAAATAAATCTTGGGCCTTCCTGTTGAAGTATAACGAGAAAGAGGGTGATTGGAAAGGGGTAAACTGAAGTTGGAGAGGAATCAGCGGCCATATCGGGAGCTCGTCTGCCACACTAAAGGGCCTGTATTTTACTTCATGCCCACAGGAAACCCCTAAGGAGGTATGAAGCAGAGAATGATAACATCCCATTTTAAAAATCCACCCTCGTAGTTATATGACAACTGGATTAAAGGGGTACAAAAGTAGACTTGGGGAGACCAGTCCCCACTATAGGCAGCTGCTATACCCCAGGCAAGAGATGACAGAGGACTGGAGAATGATAATTTTTAATGTACTGAGTAGTTAAAAATAAATAATAATGAAGAGCAAAGCCTTCTCAGGGGAGGTGCTGTGTGAGTGGGGTTTTAAAGATGAGCAGAAGTTTTACAGGCAAAAAGGAGGTATTTAAATTTCCTAAAATGTCTCTGCAGAGCATCACTGTTGTATACTTGAATTGTCCACAAAGGTCTATAAAGTAACCAAACTGCCTTACGGAACATTTTACCTTTCCACAGATTTTCCACATATTGTATCCCATTTGTCTCTGAGTTCACTCAGCATGTCATCCAGTTTCAGGTTGTCATCAGCCAGGGAGGTTTTCTCCTTCAGAGAACGTCCCGTCCTGTTAGTGGTGTCGTAGACAGAATGCTTGGCTCCAAGTGATTTCTGAAACTCCTATATATTTAACAAGAAAACAGTGTGCATTTCTATTTTGGACTAATAAACAATTAGGTAATAAGCATTAAAAAAAAGGCATCTCTAACATAATACTAAGTGAAATAAGTCAATCACTTAAGGACAAATGTATGATCCACTTTTATAAGAAGACCAGAACAGATATACAGAGACAGACCAAAGCTCATTGGTGGTTACCAGGGGAGAGGGGCTAGGGGATCACACTCTAGTTCGTAGATACTCGTTATTCTTGGTGATGGGAAAAGTAGCACCAAATGTGGCTGTAGTGAAAACAACACAACCAAAGTAAACTATGTCACTAAGAAGTGCTCAAGATAAAAGGATGTCCATCTGCACTAAAGAATTTGACATATACAATTTCGCGGCAACAACACCAACAATGGCCAAAAAACGAGTGTATGGTCACACGTGTACATGTATAGGCATATAGCTACATGGGTAGGTACAGGTGTATACATATGTGTGCACAGATAAAAGTATCTATACATAGCTGCAAGTACAGATATGTGTGTGCACTCATATATATTCATAGAGGACACAATTACAGATACTTCTCAGATATAACCAAATACCTTGAGAGTTTGTTTTCTAGGTTTGAAAGCTTAGGACCTTAGTTTCATGGGACAACTCAGTCAACTGGCATAATATAGTTCACAAAGTTCATGTTTTGCATCCTAGTGAAGTGAGTAGCATCTGGAGTCTTAAAAGCCTGTAAGCAGCCATCTAAGATACAACTACTGGTCCCTACTCAGGAGCAAAACAGTAAGAGGGAAACCAGAGTCTCAGGGAATAAACTAGTCTACAGGTTTAATAGCTTACATGAGCCACATTTACCCTGAAAGGAGAAGAACTAGATGGTGTCCGGCTACCTATACCGACTGTTCTGGTCAGGGCCACAAAAGGTGGCTCCTGATAGAAGGGCAGAAAAACACAAAACAGAACTTAAATTCTTACAAAGTCCATACTTACTGGACCAATTGAGACCAGAGGACTCCCTAAGACCATCACCCTAAGATACTCTCTAAACTTTGAACCAAAACTATCCCAAGATCACCTTTTAGCAAAATAACAGAGGGGTACACAAAATAAAGCATATTACCCATGAGCATAGTGTTCTACTAAAAAACCATCTATATGAGACCAAAAGGTCAACATTTACTCTAAAGCACAGATAAGAAGATAAGGAGGCCGGGAAACTAGAGTACTGGAAACAGAACAACCAGAATGCAATTAAAGAGAATGTTGACACATTGTGAAAAATGTAACTAATGTCACTGAGCAATCTGTAAAGAAACTGTCAAATGGGAATCTCATTTATTGTGTAAACTTTCACCAAAAACACAATAAAATATTATTAATTTAAAAAAATAGGCAACTCTAGCAAATGGAACCCAAACACTGGAAGATATCAGCAAATAAACGAATCAGATAGTGTAGCACCATACTCTGCACAGTAACACATCAGGGTAGAAGAGAATCTTTAAACAGTGATGATAAAATGGAACTGCTAAGTAACTACTGAAATATCCAAAGATTTGAAGGGAAAATATGGTTAATACTCTATCAATAACTATTGGTCCAACATGGATAGAGAAGACTCAATAATGTATAAATTTACTATATGGTTGTGTCAAACAGATTTATTGTCACACGTTTGGATATTCACAATGTTATATGCATTTTTGTCTCTAAGCCAGGATCAGAACAAGTAAGAACCACATCTCTAGATTCCTCTGTTTGGACCTATTTCTCATTCTGTTCACACTACTTGGGAAACCTACACCTCTCCTCTCTGCCTGTATAAAGCCCTACCAAAGTCTCAAAAGATCTACAGATCATTTTTCCAGTATCAAATAGCTAAACTGCTAATGTAATATCTATAGTTTGCTGCTTTTTACACTGTTGTTTAACCTTGTGTGAGTGTGTGTGTGGTGGTGGTGGGAGGTGTGGAATTAATCATATTCATTCTTCACAACTCAATTATAAGCTTTCCTAGAGCAGGGACATTGTCCTTGTAGGCCTTTCATTATCATCTTATACTTAGTAGGTGTTTATAAGTATTTAACAGAAGAATTAGAAAGAATGAGACAACAACCTTAGGGATGGAAAGGAAAAAAGATTAGCTTAATGACTGGTAGCTTGCAAGCTCACAAAATAATACCAAGGAAACACTAACACAGTGGTCCTCAATCCAGATAGTACATTAAAATCACCTCAGGAGCTTTTTAAAAAACACCAATGCGAAGAAGTGAAAGTATCTCTATCTGCAGATAGCATGATCTTGTATATAGAAAATCTTAAGGAACACACTAAAAAATGATTTTAAGTTATTAATAATTTCAGAAAGGTTGCAGGATACAAAATCAAGATACAAAAATCAATTGTTTTTTTACACACTAGCAAAGAATCCTAAAATAAAATTTTTAAAAATTTCACTTATAATAGCATTGAAAACAGTAAAATATTTAGAAATACATTTAATAAAGTACAAGACTTGTACATTGAAAACTACAAAATATTGTTGAAAGAAATTAAAGAGGATCTAAATATGTGGGAAAACAGTCCAAGTTCATGGATCAGAAGACTTAATATAGTTATGATGCCAATACTCCCCAAATTGACCTATAGATTTCAATGCAACCCCTATCAAATCCCAAGTGGTTTTTTTTTTTTTTTTTTTTTTGCAGAAAATGACAAGTTGATAGTAAAATTCATATGAAAATTGAGGGGACAAAAATAGCCAAAGCAATTTGAAAAAGAACAACAAAGTTGGAGGATTCATACTTCATGATTTTAAAACATTACATAGGTGCAGTATGAAGACTGTGTGTGATAGTGGCACAAGGATGCACATATTGATCAATGGAATAGAACTGAGAGTTCAAAAATAAACCTCTGCATTGACAGTCAACTGATTTTCCATAAGTGTGCCAAGGCAATTCAATGGGGGAAAAAACAGTTTTTTAAATATAGTGCTAGAACTGGATATATGCACATGCAAAAGAATGGAGCTGGACTCATCCCTCACACCCCCACCCCACCCACTGCTGTCGAGTCAATTCCAACTCATAGTGGCCCTGTAGGACAGAGTAGAACTGCCCCAAAGGGTTTCCAAGGCTGTAAATCTTTAAGGAAGCAGGCTGCCACATCTTTCTCCTGTGGAGTGACTGGTGGGTTCTAACCGCCAACCTTTTGGTTAGCAGATGAGCACTTAACCACTGCACCACCAGGGCTCCTTCTACCTCACAGCATATACAAAAATTACACAAAATGGATCAGTGACCCAAATGTAAGAGCTAAAACTATAAAATTCTTTGAAGAATGCATAGGGGAAAATCTTTGTGACCCTGTATTAGGCAATGGTTTCTTAGATATGACACTAAAGGCACAAGCAAACAAAAAAAAAAAAGATACAATAGATCCAGCTGTCTCTGCTGTTTGGTAGCCACCGCACTTCAGTTTTCTCATTAGTAGAGCTTTAGCTAACCTACATATTTCACAAAGTTGTTCTGAGGATGAAAAGACAAAATGCATAATGTGAAAGCTTTGTTAGCTATAAAATGCTATGCAAATGTGTTATTTTCCAAAATAACCTTCAGGTTACAATTACCTAATAAGTTTTCATTGCCTTTAAAAGCTACACCCTTCATGCGTTTTAATATGACTAAGCTATTTATTCTGTTCTGTAATAAGAGGCAACTACATCTAGGAAATTTTTAATAATAAATACCATCACGATATCACACTATTTCTGAAGTTTGTTACATATAATTTTTTTTAAACGCCATTCCAAACAGAATGCTAGTGTTTAGTGTTTCTGTTTCTTCACACAGAAAGTACGTAATAAATTATAGCTAATCACAGGCTAGATTAAAGCTTTTTAAGGACAGAGTACTCAAATGACAAAAGAAAAACATCAGTTCACAGTAGGGAAAATAGAGTATCTAACAAGGTTCTTCCCGTATTCCTATTTCTACGATTCTCTAGCTTTAACATACAATAAACTTCCATAAGACCACATGAAACAACATCTATGTTCAAGTTCAAATAAGGTATTCTCTTCTGAGAAGGAGCTCTCATTTTTCCATCAGAGGGGAAGGAGGGTGTGGTTCCCTGTCACTGTGCTGCCAGTACTTGATGTGGCAGCTTGCTGGCAAAGGGTACCAGCAGGATAAGCCATTCATAAGCCCCTATCTATCCAAAGAGCAGGTGCTCAATATGTTTCCTTCCATCACTCTCTTATCATGACTCTCTGAGGTGAGACTCACAGATAGAAGCAACCAACCTGTAAAAGCTAATGTCTAGAATTTTCAGATGATGATACACCTCACCTTTCCTCAATTTTATCCAGCCTTTTAAGATTATCACGTTTCAAGCGATGATTTATAAGGTAAATGCCCAAAACTGTAAAACTGTTTTTGCAGGAACAGCTCTTCTTTCACTCACATTCTCTGAGGACTGCTTTACAAACAGAATGATAGAAAGACCCTAATTCAAGAGTAGGGGTTAGGGGAGAGAATCAAATGCTCTTTGAATGCCATGTGGAAGAAATATAAAAGGCAGGAAATATTTTAGAAATGATTCTACATGCTTCCAGTCTACACATGGAAGCCACTGACTCTGTGCCTTTGTTGGGAAGGGTCGAATTTCATACACACACATACACAACAGAATAACAATTCAGGTAGGGCAACCAATTTTTCTATTCCACTCTTTAAGAGACTCTATATGACAAAATCTGTATGTACTTTTTACTCCAGAATTATTTTCAAAGTGGCATTTAGTCTACAAAAGAAGTTTTAAGACAGTTGTCATGAAAAATTGAAATGCCAGTGTTCAAACCACTACAAATCCTTTAAATGTTTTAGATTGTAGAGGACTTCCAGTTTTAATTCTGTATGTTTTCTTTTAACAATTAATCCTGCCCTCATTAATGAAATGGTCACTAGAGAATAAAGACACTGTTGCTACTTGACCAATATGAAGGAGAGCTGGGTTTTAAATTTAATATAGGTCCAGATGAGACAGGCTTTTTCTCTAGTGATGAATAAATACAACATCAAATAAGACTCTGAAAGTTATCTTGAGACATATAATGTGCCAGTTTACTTTTCATAATTACAGACCCACCTTATGCTGTGCAAGCTGTGTTTTTATTTTGTCTGGATCATTGGCGATTTCCAGTTCTGAATCCAAAGATTTTTCTGACTCTTCTAGCCATTCCATAAGTTTACTCCATGCCTCATGGAACTGTAAAAGAAATCCACATCTTTGTCCAGAAAATTTTCAAGCATACTCATTATATTTGAAATCTAGCATACGAAATTAATTTTAGCAGAAATGTTGAAAATTATTAATTCAGAATTTCTCCTGAAGGTGAAAAATGTAATATTTCACTGGTAGAGTACAAACTGTCTTGACAACACCTGGCATTTGTGGTTGTGCTCCATGGTCACTTTGTGATAATTCATTCAAACGCATCAGCCATAATAACAAAACTAGAAAGGAGCCTAGAAAGAATTAAGGAGCACCACGGAGAATGTCTCTTCCCTTTGTTTTGCTTACTAATTAACGTAAATCCTCAGAATTTTTTTTTTCTGCCCACTGCTATCTCTTGACAGATCTGGGTTTACTTCTAAGTAAGGTGTTTAATACCTATGTTAAGAAAGAGGAACAACAAAGAGGAGGACAGAATAAAGTTTGTAAATTGGCTTTAAAAAGTAGCAGGAACAAAAAAAAAGCCATTATACTTCTATTTAATACAAAGGTAATTCAACATCTTCATTTCTAGTAACAGAATCCTCAAATTAATGCCTATACCTCTCATACTGGTTTTATATATATAAGAGCACTCACAATACTTGAGCTCTAACGAAATATATTTCCCATTGGAATCTTGTAAACATCCTGCTGTGCAATATATACATATAATTTCGGCCACACTCCCTTTTCTGTTTATTATAAAGAACTAGTAGGTACTATTTTTAGATACCAAATTGTGAAATTGGTTATAAATTATTTCTCATAATAAATTTAAGTGAGTATATACATAAAAAAACTTATCAAAATAAAATCTGTTGTATAACAAAGCACATTAATAATGAACTACCAAAAAGACATTTAACAATAAAAGCACACGGAGGGCCCAGAATCACAAAGCTGCAAGGGCCCATTAGAGATGATCTCATTAAAAACCTGCTCGCCCCGCACATCCCTCCCACAACTCGAATCAATTTAAATATGAGAAAATGGAGGCCAGAATAGGTACATAAATTGCCCAAGTCAGAAAACTATGATCAATATCTGAGCTACAACCTGAGATACTACAGTAATAAAAACAAAGCTAAAGAAGGAGCTAGTTACGGTGTTAGGTAATTTGGCTCTAAATAAAACGTGCTATGACAGAAAGTAAGTCCAATGTTATAAATGAACAGGTTCTAAGGCTAGGGTTGCTTTCAAAAATATTTTTAAGCCATGTAAATAGAGGAAATGAAAATATGAGAAAATTTTGTAAAGTTAGTTAAACAAAATGAGAAAATAAAATTGATTACAATGGAGGAAGGAGGAAGAGAGTGGGCAACTGACTACTGGCATCCAAGAGACTTCTATCAATTAGATGCCTATACTACAAATGGCATCCTGCCACATACGTGGAGAGAAAAATGTTATGCTCAGAATTGATTCATTAGAGACCGACTCTATTTCAGAGATTCACTTATGATATTGATCCTACCACACCTCCCGCTCAAAAAGGGATACATACTATGCAATTACATAACAACACAATTTGTCATTTCTAAAGTCTTTTAAAAATTTACACTAATAACTTTAAAAATTGAAACACTTGACTACTATGACATCTTTTGCCCCTCCCCCCCAAAAAAAACCAATGGAAGTAATATCAATGCTAGAAAATGCAACTGAATGTGGCAGCAAGAACAATGATCAAATTCAGCATCAATATTACACTAAGTTTCCAGTAAAAATCAAAGCAAAGCGAGTACATCCTCTCTGTCATCCCTGAACACAGAGACACATAATTTTACCTCTTGTCTGTGTTTAGTCTAGAATAGGAATGTTAATAATAGGTGGAGGGAGAAAGGAAAGTTCTTTGTAAAATTTCTCTAAATTTACCAAAAAACAAAAAAACCTTCCCCCACAAAAAAACAGCAAACCACAAAAAATAAATAAATAGATAAACAAAAACAAACGCAGCCACAAAAGATTCAAATGATTAATACTGAGGTGGGGTGGAGCTCTATGAAAACCCAGGAAAGAAATGAAGGCTTTGTCAATAAGGATACAGATTCAGAGAACTAAGGACTGTCAACCAACTCAGACAAAGAATGGGTCCTTTCAGAAAGCTTCCATCTGGAGGAATAAATGGCTAGCTTTCAGCTGACAGTTTCTGAAGAAATTTTAGCTAAAGAATTAAACAGAAGATAGCAATATAATAAACTATGATGTCTCAGTTTTGAGCATCAGACTGGAGGCTGAAAGGGCAGAGCAAAACAAACAAACAAAAAGCCAATGGCAAAAATTTTGTGTTTTTTGGGGCCTTAAGGATAACAGCCCATCTGTGAAGTCAAGCTATAATCAGTCTTTTCAAAATTAGTCCCCAGGGCCTAAACTTCTGTTAGGTCAAAAAAGTGAAGATGTCGGCATCCAAATTTAGGTCATGGCCCTTTTAGGAAATAATATCTTGGCTCCATACCATAATTTGTTATACCTAATTTAGCTGGCAAGAAAGTACTTTAATCACATCATATATATTTCAACAGCTAGAACTGATTTATTGTCAGGTTTACCTGCTTGGCCCTCTTCCTTGCATCATCCAAAGATCTTCCTCTTTCCACTAATCGTTGAACTACTTTTTCCCATCGACTTTGCACACTGATAAGCAGGTTCTTTATTAGGACGACATCTTGTTTCTGACTGAAATATTTCAGGTGGGTTCCAGTTTTGTCCAGCTCTATTATCTGCTCACGGTGAGAATTGACTTCGTTGGCAAATACCTTTCCCCGAAAAAAATGGCATAAACAGAAATAAGTGAAAAATTGATCTTATAAATGCCTCTAGTGTCATAGCTGAAATTATCTTTAAAGGACAAAACAAAGTTTTCTAACTGTAAAGTTCATGCTTTTGACATTCAAACAGCTCGGTGTCTAAAAGGTCTGAAAGAAGAAACTTATCCATCCCAGTCACTACATACCTTGTGTTCATCGATTTGAAACAAGACTGTGTCTAAGATAAGACTTGGCCGGGAAGCTACATTTAGTGTCTGTTCAGCCTGGGTAAGCCAGCTGATGAAGTCCTGGAGAGAATTGTGAAACTCCATTGCCAAACTGAGGGCCTCTTCCAGTTTAGTCTGCAAAGACAGATAATATAGCATTTGATGATATTTAAGAGGTTTGTTATTTTTTCAGTTTAACCACTCTCTGGCAGATTTCCTTCCCATCCCCACTTTATTTATGCATAATCTATATTAACTAAACAGTTTATGAATGTAATGGGCCTTCACTGAAATACTGGGAAAATAAACCCATTTGAGTATAGTGAAAAGCATCTCATTGCAGCTATAACATTCCAGTATACACTAAAATCATGTTTTTTGACAACTAACCACAGAATTCAGTTTCTAAGCAGAATCTGTAAAAAAGAAAAACTGACATTCATATAATTAATTTTGGGGGTCAAAACAGTATGAAATACTATCACCCTAAGATACGCTTTGAACTTGGAATTGAAGCCACTCCCAGAGTTCTCTTTTAGCCAAATAATAGATTGGCTTATAAAATAAACAGTATCACCCGAGAGGGCTGTGCTCCCTTAAACAATGAACTACACAAGACCAAATGGTCAACATTTACCCAAAGGTAAAGATGAGAAGGCAAGGAGGGGCAGGGAAACTAGATAAATGGAAACAGAACAAACAGAATGGAAATAATGAGAATGCTGACACATTGCTAAAATTGTAACCAATGTCACAGAACAATTTGTCCAAAAATTGTTAACTCAGAACCTAATTTGCCGTGTAAACTTTCACCTAAAACATAATAAAATATTTTAAAAAACAGTATGAAATAGCCATTATACTTTGTCAGTTAGACAGCATATTGCCTAGTATTCCTCATCTATCATGTTTCTTACAGCATTAAGATTTCTTAGATTGTTGTTTCTGCGGTTTGAAGAATGTGACAAAAAGGAAAACATTCAGGGTGTAACCATAAATTTTAGTCCTTCTTCACGGATTTTTGTTATGGTGTTTATAAAATATATATACAACCACATCACTCTCCTGATCTCCCTCTTTCCCTCCCTCTATACATAGCTTTTTGCTTTCTAAGTGTGGTTAGAAGAGAGATTTAACAACCCAGAATTTGATGGTTCATAACATTTAAAAATATACTGGAGTTCTGCTTGATCTATAATATATCTTTACCTTAAGTCTGAAAAGATTCTTTTAATTCTATTCTCCTATATTAACACAGAATATTATTTTCAACGACCCCATGAAACCTCCGAATGTATACAAAGAAAATTTAACCAGCAATTGTTAAAAGTTCTACTTCTGATAGTTCTACTCAGAAATAAGGCAAAATCCATGAAATAAAACAACTAAAACATTGATTCTAGTATGTTAATCAAAGCACATACTTTCCTTTCGTTGAGTTTGGTTTCCACCAATTCCCATTTTTCTTTCAAGTTATTTATGTCTTGGTCAATATTTGTCTCTGCAGATTTGGGGCAGCTTGCAAGCATCTGCTGGCCTTTTTGCATCAGACTCCTGTATGTTTCTTCTTTAACATCAAAGGCAGCACAGACTTCCTAAATTGAGATACCCCCAAGTTATATCATTTTTAAGAGAATAAGATCTGAGAGTCCTATTCTTCCAGGTCATCAATCCCAAACCCCTTAATATATTTTCCTCTCTATCTGGCATACAGAACCCTGACACATTTGAACATTTCACTATATTGAAACAACACCCAAACCAACAGTCCTACCCTGTCTACAGAGACATCTTAGAAATGGTGCTATTACCAGCAATCCATTCAGGCACGCCAGGGTTGTGAAACTATATATTAAATGTTATCAAGATAGCTGATAGCAGTAATTAATCAGCTGTGTGACCTTGGACAAGAAACTCAACTTCCCTGAGCCTCAATTTCCTCTTCTATAAAAACACGGCTTCTCTAGGTCTCTCCTAGGACTATGATAAATGACTGTGAAACTTTGTATAATTTAATCCTGCACTGAGAAAACATGCAATGGATAGAAAGTAAAGACCCAGTATGGTAGCCATTTAAGTTACTCAGACTGTGGAATCACAAAAGTCAGACTTCTGGTACTCTGAATAATTATTCTCACTTATAACATTTTAAAGCTTCTAACTGAAATGCAGTATGGTATAGAGAACAGAAGAAAATATTGCTTCAACACATTGAGAATTTAAGGCCGATGAAACAAAATTTAAACTTCATTCAAAAAATTGAGACCAGTTCTATTCCAGTGGTTTATAATGTGGGTAAAATCACACTGAAAAACTGTATACTTATGTCTCTCTAACATTTTTGACTTTATAATTTATTTTTAAGATTGAGATATAATTCACATATCATAAGATTCACCATTTTTAAAGTACATAATTCAGTGTTTTTTCAGTACTATATTAACAAATTTGTGTAAACATGACTACTATCTAATTCTAGAATATTTTCATCATTCCAAGACTATAAAGTTCTTAAATTTTTAAAAAATAACCTCTTTCTAAACATTTTTACAATTATTCGCATACTAAAAGCTTTTAATCCTAAATAAAACATTTTAAATATAGCTAAAACTCAGGAAAATGTAATAGTCCAGGCTTTTTAGCTTTCTTAGCTTGTATCACAACTAAATTAAGAGAACATTATTGAGTTGGTATTAGAGATATCAATACCTCTATAGAATTCTTTAAATCAAGGAATTTCTGTAACCTGGTAAATTATATCAGGTTATGGTAAATTCATTTTAAATACCCGATCCAAACGAATAAATTGATACTCAATGTTTTCTTAAAAGTAAAGCACTCTAAAGATAAGCTCTTTGCTTTCCAAGTTCTTACTTATATTCTTCTAAATTAACACTTTTTAATATTTATGCTATTAGAGAATAATCCCAAACATCCATTTGTTCAAGAATTCATTAAACTTATAATTAATGGACACTGTGGCACAGTAGTTAAAAGAGCAGCTGTTAATCGAAAGGTCATCCATTCAAATCCACCAGTTGCTCCTTAGAAACCCTATGAGGCAGTTCTACTTTGTCCTATAGGGTTGCTATGATTCGGAATGGAATCGACAGCAACAAGTTTGATTTTTTTGGTAACAGCTATGCAGGTACTTCCAGGAAAGTAAGGAGCTACCTGGAAGTCAGTCAGCCTTTATGGAGAAGAAAGATTGGCATTCCCAAGTTATTATTTAGTCAATTACTTTTTCAGTGAAACAAATGGGCTTCTTGTGGCACTCCCCCACCCCACAAAAAAAACCCACACAATAATTTCTGAAACAATGAATGTATCCTAAAGATTTCTAGAAAATTCTTTACTGGATTAATAGGACTTATTTTAATGGTTCATTGCAATTTTGAGATAAACATCATATCACATCCTATGTCTGTTTTATTTCATCACAACATCTATAAAATGGGTTACTTCCTTTCCATCAAGAAATTCAAAATTATATCCAAATAACTGCAGTTTCATTAAGATTTGTAACAACATTAGACATTTACTAGAGACTGCAGATTTTAATCTGCATCGGTCCATTTCTTTTGCCAAATCCCTAAGTATTTCTACTTATATTTCTAAATATATTAATTACCATTATTTGAATATTTTTAAAAAACATATTTCTGATGCAAATTCATAAGTGTAAAAATTACAGAATACTTTTCAAAATCTGAGACAGACTGTTTTCTTATAGAACCATGAGAGCTGAATTAAACTGGAAAATGAAGAGGAAATGCCAATAAATCAAAGGGAGTATAAATTTAATTTGTCAGTCTCTATTTATATGGAAGAAAGTCAGAGTCTCAAGTTTCATATATTGGTTCCAAACTTCTTAAGAGTTGATAATGCAACATAATTTGGATGGGAACAACCTACAGGACCAGTACTCCACATTCGACAATTTAGAAGAAGCCTTCCCTTGTCTGTATCTGGTGTTGGTGTTAAGTTGAAGGCAAAGCCCTATCACCATTAAAACAACCAATCAACCAACTTTTCATTTAACAAAACAAGAATTCATTTTCTAGCATTCTATGAAACCAGGTGGGATTATCAAATGCTTACAGCAATAATTTTAAAGACAATTCTGATTACTTTGGGAATATTTCTTTTCATTCAAGGCACAACAGTTTGTAATTTATACAATGTTATATTACTAGCCATACAAGCTTATTACTCCTTGTGGGGGAAGGTTTGTTTGTACAAAATATCTGAACTTCTAAAATCTCTCTTCATATCTTGACACACTAATCTTTGAAATAAAAAAATAGGTTGACTTGAAAAATTTAATCTGTGAATGAAGTTATTTTTAACACTATAAAGCTGTACATCTTTTAAAACTTTTTCCTATGCTTTATTTATTACTAAGGGCCCCACACAACATGGTCAGACAGTTTCTTAATCTGTGGCTAGAACTGGAGGAAATAACATACTTACCATATGGGCATTAAGCTGTTCCCTGGCTGTTTCTGGTAAACCTCCTAGAGGTTTGGATGCCAACAGATGACGCTCTGTGTCAGTCAGCCACTGCTGCAGATCTTCAATTTCACCATGGAACCCTTTGGCCTGAAGTGATAGAGAGTTTTTAAGTTTAGGCCATAAACATTGCCTCTTTCAAGCAGAAGACAATGTTCAAACAATCCCTGCCTGCTAAGTCTCTGTATGCATACTAAAGAACTGGCAGGTGCCACTGGATCTGCCTCGCCTTTATTCATCATGGGAGCTCTAGTAGATAAGAGTATTATGCTAAGAACTAAAAAGCTGTGTTCTGGTCTGTTGTATTCTTCATCCCACTTGTTTTTTGCTTCTCTCCTTCAAATATAAAAAAAGTAAACGGGTCTGTTTACTAATGAAGGAATTCCATGCTTTTTGGTCTTGAACGCTATAGAAAGTTTCAGAATTTATTCTCTTATTCACCTGGCGCAAGGCACCATCCAGCTGCTGCTTCCTTTGTTCTGTTTTTTCCAAAACATTTTTCCAGCGTTGATTTAAAATCTCTAGCTTGTTCTGAAGGTTGCTTGCTTCTTCTCCTGCACTTGATTCAATTAGATCATTTCCTGCTTTATTAACGGCTTCCACTGTGGACTGATGGGCTAATACATCATTTTGGAGCACCTGAAATTATTAAGATAGCACCATGCTTACCAGTCTGTAACATGTTAACATCACTTTTAATGCAATTACTTTGTTTTCTGGTTATGAAACACACTGAAACAAAAATATCATATGCATAGAATTTTAATACTGATAAAGTTTTAAAATGATGGAGTTTTTTGTTTTTGTTGTTTTGCTTTAACTTTGCAGTTTTCCTGTGTGTAACATTAGTCTCCCAGCACTCCTTAAAATGATTATGTGAGAACACTTTGTTAGTTCTTCCCATTAGAATAATCTTGCAATTAGTGACATTAAGAACACAGAGGTTATAATTAAAAGGTTCTTAGTAGTTTTCATTTGAGCCAAGCTCATTTTAATTGAACCTTAATTCTCATGTCTGAAGTAATTAATTCAAAAGATAGTTTATTTTTACTCCTATATATTAATTTTCAAATTGAAATTATTACACTTCTAAGATGTATACTGCCATATTTTATAACCAGGATTCTGAAAGGGAAAAGACAGTATCCACAGAATATTCTTTTATCTTCTCTTGTTGGTAGAGTGCTAAGATTAACTTCTAAATTGACAGGAATCTTGGGGGGCCCCAACACTCAAGGAAAAGAGATTATCATTACATATCAAGGATACGTAAGCAAGCCCAGAATTCTAATGTTAGCTATTATTTTACTAGAAAATGCTTACTATAAACCCAGTAAATAATGCCTTTCATTTATATAGTAGAAATATAAGAATAGATTAATATTACTTAAATATACTACACTGGGGTCAGAGTTGTAAGCACAGAAAGCAACCCCAAGGCTAAAAAATTAACTTCTTATCCTTAAAAGAATTATACTTTATAGAATAAATATAGCCTTGGTAATAGTTTCCTTTCAAGAAGACTATGGTTTCATTTTTGGAAACCTAAAGAAACTTCCCTCTAATCTTACTAAGAGTCAATCATATAATCCTACCCTACACTCACTGACCAAGGGTTGGCAATCAGCAGTAAAGAAAAGGCATGTCACCTCTTTGTCCTATGTAAGACATCACACATGTGGTGGCAAATCCAGACCAGAGAGGATTTCCAGAGAAGAGCAGCAGCCCTCTGAGATCACTGTTTCTATCTGAGATCACTGTTTCTCTGACTGTGTTCACTCATTTTCTGAGGCATATGGCAGGGGAGTGGTTTTCAAAGTTGATAAAACCAAGTGAGCAAGAACTTATCTTTATAGAAAGCATGGACTTTGATATGTCAACCATAGGAATCACTTTTAAAATGTAAGAGCTCAATAAAAGATAATTCTATAAAATTTATTCTTCCAAATTGTCTGAGTCCTGCTACATAAGCCAGTGTTCAGAAGAAGGAAGAGAGGAAAGAAGGAAAGAGGTAGAAACATTCCCTCTCTTCCTCTAGCAACTATGCTGGGAATTCTAAGTCCCCTAACTTTTGATCTCTGGGAAATAGAAGGAAAAGAGAAAAGGAGCCATTTCTAACTGCTCAAAGATAGACAAACATCATTAAAAGGTCCAAACCCATTCCCTGCCAAAATAACTGGAACAGGGGACCTCCTTCATTTCATTTCTACTACACTATATAAAGTTTCCATCACTGATGGATGTTACTTTTAAGACAACTGCTAAGTGTGAAAATGTAAACTAAACTCACACTCTGAGAATAAATCTATTTTGTTTTCATGCAGAGTCAGTCTGATCAGTCTTCACTGCTTTTAGCAAAGCTGTAATGTAGCTATCAAATAACGAAGCAGATTTCCATCTAAACATTAATAATTTACAATAAGTTTCAACTGCTAAATTAAACATGGTTCGGCAATGACTATAAATGTAGACAGAACTAGGTAAAAGAAGAATAATTTAAATTAGAGAAACAATTACTGTGGAGAAAAGTATGAAAGAGAGACTAAGGCAAGAATAGTTAAAAACTATATAATAACATCTTAAAGTGCTAAAAACGTCCCTTTTATTTAAAAAATGATAATAAACACGTACAATAATCAAACACTTCCTATTTGATAATCAGGAAAAATTTATTTAAGATTAAGATTTGGGACTTTGTAGATACCACTATTAACTTGAATGTTAAAGCTTATGAAAGACTGTTGAATGTCAGGATAAATGCTATGCATAAAGAAGGAACATAATAAGCAATAACAAATACATACATGATGCTTGGCAAGTTCAATTTCAATGGCCTTTGGGTCTCCTCCAACAGGTTTCTGTTCACCTAGCAAGCCCTCAGTGTGTGTTAGCCATGCCAGTAGCTCATCCAGGGCATGTTGGAACTGCCCCAGTGCTAACAGAGCACCCTCAAGCTTATGCTACAGAAAAAGTGGAAAGGAAGAAAATCCATTAATTAATTTGATATTATGAATACACTTATAAAACAGGGGTAAAAAATCACTTCTTTCATACTGCATATGTCCATAAGCCTATCCAGTGAGGTCTAGTCACCATATACTTCCTACAATTTATGTTTGAATCTCTTACTTTGTAGTTTTTTTTAAAAAAAGGCACTTAAGAGGCAGGAAGAGTTCTAATGAAACAAGGGTATTTGGGGCCTTCAAAAGTTTATGCACATAATGGACTAATTTTATTTTTTAATAACTATTTCACATTAACATATGAAATTGAAAACGTATCACTTCTTAACAAAAGTCTTGGTATTCACCTGTCTGTTGATAATTCTCTCATCCAAGCTATCCCATATCAATTTCAGTTCCATTAATGGGTCTTGAACAGTATGTTTATCGCTTTCTTCTGTTACTTTCTTCAGCAAAAGCTCTGCTTGATGGTTCAGTCTTTCCATTTCTATCTGTTGTTGATAGGCCTCTGACTTAAATTGCTATTTTTTTAAAAAAAAAAGAGAGATAAACATGGGAAATTTGTCATAAACCAGTAACTTTAAACAAAAAACTTACATGCATTGGACCTCTATTCTAATTAACACTTAATATTGGGAAAGGGAGATGAAGAGGAATAAAAATCTGAAACAGTCTTTATTAATAAAAGAATTTAAAAAAATTAAGGAGAATCTTTTCTCTTTATTCAATATTTTCTGACAGAAGGATGTTTCTACTTATAATTTTGATTTCATTTCTGTTCTCTACAATGAAGAATTAACAAATTTTGAAACTGACCTTTTTTCAGTTTCCAATTACATACCTTCAGTTAAGTGCATTTTAGAATAAACGTAGCAAAAACTGTCTCTAAAAAGTGCAAATTAATATTTCATGCTCTAAAACACAAATATACTTGCATCACTGTTAAGTTTATATCTTCCGTAGCTGTGTTGTGTTGATTAACATTTAGTTTTTCCTATGTCTCACTCACACCCTGATACAAAATAACATTGTTCTCTGTCCTGGTGCTTCCTAAATTTCTGATGTATATTTAATCTTGGCTTTGGCAAATGATTGGTTAGCAAATGGTTGCTTGTAACAGGAAATTGTCCCTTCATAAAATATCCTATTGATTTTAATCTTCAATAATAAATAATTAATGTGAGCAGTCCCTTAAATTTCTTTCAAGCATATGAAAATAATAATTAAAAAATAATAACTAAAGTGTATTGAGCACTTGCTTTGTTATGTACAAGGTACTCTCAACAAACTTATAAGGGAAATCATTTTATTCTCAATTTAAGCTAAGGTCACAAAAGTGAGACCAGTTGGCTCATCCCTTTGGGAGCAAGGGAGAATGAAGAGAACAGGATACAAAGAAAAGATAAGTCCGAAGGACTAATTGTCCACAGCTACCAAGGCCTCCACCAGACTGAGTCCAGTACAGCTAGATGGTGCCCAGCTACCACCACTGACTGCTCTGACC